TTACTGTGTGAATGTGTGAGAGTATAATGTTTTGTAGAGAGAGAGAGAGAGAGAGAGAGAGAGAGAGAGAGAGTTGTGGCGGTGAGCGCTCTGTTCTAGCTAGTGACTGAGAACAGAAAAGGCCCAATTAACAGAGCTTACTCAGGCTCCCACAATCCCTCGGCGCCCATGTGTCTCACTGGGGTCATCAACTACATATTTATTTAAGTACAGTGGGGAAAAAAGTATTTAGTCAGCCACCAATTGTGCAAGTTCTCCCACTTAAAAAGATGAGAGAGGCCTGTAATTTTCATCATAGGTACACGTCAACTATGACAGACAAAATGAGAAAAAAACATCCAGAAAATCACATTGTAGGATTTTTAATGAATTTATTTGCAAATTATGGTGGAAAAAAAGTATTTGGTCAATAACAAAAGTTTCTCAATACTTTGTTATATACCCTTTGTTGGCAATGACACAGGTCAAACGTTTTCTGTAAGTCTTCACAAGGTTTTCACACACTGTTGCTGGTATTTTGTCCCATTCATCCATGCAGATCTCCTCTAGAGCAGTGATGTTTTGGGGCTGTCGCTGGGCAACACGGACTTTCAACTCCCTCCAAAGATTTTCTATGGCGTTGAGATCTGGAGACTGGCTAGGCCACTCCAGGACCTTGAAATGCTTCTTACGAAGCCACTCCTTCGTTGCCCGGGCGGTGTGTTTGGGATCATTGTCATGCTGAAAGACCCAGCCACGTTTCATCTTCAATGCCCTTGCTGATGGAAGGAGGTTTTCACTCAAAATCTCACGATACATGGCCCCATTCATTCTTTCCTTTACACGGATCAGTCGTCCTGGTCCCTTTGCAGAAAAACAGCCCCAAAGCATGATGTTTCCACCCCCATGCTTCACAGTAGGTATGGTGTTCTTTGGATGCAACTCAGCATTCTTTGTCCTCCAAACACGACGAGTTGAGTTTTTACCAAAAAGTTCTATTTTGGTTTCATCTGACCATATGACATTCTCCCAATCCTCTTCTGGATCATCCAAATGCACTCTAGCAAACTTCAGACGGGCCTGGACATGTACTGGCTTAAGCAGGGGGACACATCTGGCACTGCAGGATTTGAGTCCCTGGCGGCGTAGTGTGTTACTGATGGTAGGCTTTGTTACTTTGGTCCCAGCTCTCTGCAGGTCATTCACTAGGTCCCCCCGTGTGGTTCTGGAATTTTTGCTCACCGTTCTTGTGATCATTTTGACCCCACGGGGTGAGATCTTGCGTGGAGCCCCAGATCGAGGGAGATTATCAGTGGTCTTGTATGTCTTCCATTTCCTAATAATTGCTCCCACAGTTGATTTCTTCAAACCAAGCTGCTTACCTATTGCAGATGCAGTCTTCCCAGCCTGGTGCAGGTCTACAATTTTTTTTCTGGTGTCCTTTGACAGCTCTTTGGTCTTGGCCATAGTGGAGTTTGGAGTGTGACTGTTTGAGGTTGTGGACATGTGTCTTTATACTGATAACAAGTTCAAACAGGTGCCATTAATACAGGTAACGAGTGGAGGACAGAGGAGCCTCTTAAAGAAGAAGTTACAGGTCTGTGAGAGCCAGAAATCTTGCTTGTTTGTAGGTGACCAAATACTTATTTTCCACCATAATTTGCAAATAAATTCATTAAAAATCCTACAATGTGATCTTCTGGATATTTTTTTCTCATTTTGTCTGTCATAGTTGACGTGTACCTATGATGAAAATTACAGGCCTCTCTCATCTTTTTAAGTGGGAGAACTTGCACAATTGGTGGCTGACTAAATACTTTTTTCCCCCACTGTAGTTCATGTGTGTGTGTTGTGAGTCAAATTGCACCTGATCTCTCACAGAGCTAGTGATTAATTTGATGATGTCAGTATGTCTGGGGCCGGGACTGGAGGAGAGACAACACATAGTCAACCAGACAGACCAGGAGAGACAACACATGGTCAACCAGACAGACCAGGAGAGACAACACATATTCAACCAGACAGACCAGGAGAGACAACACATAGTCAACCAGACAGACCAGGAGAGACAACACATAGACAACCAGACAGACCAGGAGAGACAACACATAGTCAACCAGACAGACCAGGAGAGACAACACATAGTCAACCAGACAGACCAGGAGAGACAACACATGGTCAACCAGACAGACCAGGAGAGACAACACATAGTCAACCAGACAGACCAGGAGAGACAACACATGGTCAACCAGACAGACCAGGAGAGACAACACATGGTCAACCAGACAGACCAGGAGAGACAACACATAGTCAACCAGACAGACAACACATAGTCAACCAGACAGACCAGGAGAGACAACACATAGTCAACCAGACAGACCAGGAGAGACAACACATAGTCAACCAGACAGACCAGGAGAGACAACACATGGTCAACCAGACAGACCAGGAGAGACAACACATGGTCAACCAGACAGACCAGGAGAGACAACACATAGTCAACCAGACAGACCAGGAGAGACAACACATAGTCAACCAGACAGACCAGGAGAGACAACACATAGTCAACCAGACAGACCAGGAGAGACAACACATAGTCAACCAGACAGACCAGGAGAGACAACACATAGTCAACCAGACAGACCAGGAGAGACAACACATAGTCAACCAGACAGACCAGGAGAGACAACACATAGTCAACCAGACAGACCAGGAGAGACAACACATAGTCAACCAGACAGACCAGGAGAGACAACACATAGTCAACCAGACAGACCAGGAGAGACAACACATAGTCAACCAGACAGACCAGGAGAGACAACACATAGTCAACCAGACAGACCAGGAGAGACAACACATAGTCAACCAGACAGACCAGGAGAGACAACACATAGTCAACCAGACAGACCAGGAGAGACAACACATAGTCAACCAGACAGACCAGGAGAGACAACACATAGTCAACCAGACAGACCAGGAGAGACAACACATAGTCAACCAGACAGACCAGGAGAGACAACACATAGTCAACCAGACAGACAACACATAGTCAACCAGACAGACCAGGAGAGACAACACATAGTCAACCAGACAGACCAGGAGAGACAACACATAGTCAACCAGACAGACCAGGAGAGACAACACATAGTCAACCAGACAGACCAGGAGAGACAACACATAGTCAACCAGACAGACCAGGAGAGACAACACATAGTCAACCAGACAGACCAGGAGAGAAGGACGATGCTGCAGCATCCAACCTCATCAAAAAGAGACACCAACAACACTTGATCTGAAGTGTTCCCATTCACTCCCACAATGATGAAGCCGTCAGTATCAATCAATTACATTTCACTGTGCTTTGTAGAAATATGACACAAAGTGCCTGACAGTTAATGTATCCATTTGAATGGTGTTTGACACAAGGTTCTCTTCAATACAACACTGCAGGAGACTAAGAGTCTGACTGTAAATAATATGAATGTTGTTTTTGCCATGAGGCCATGATCCCAGTGATCAGTGGATTAGTGTAGCAGCCTCAGCCCCAGCATCTACTCTGAGCCCCAGCCCCAGCCCCAGCATCTACTCTGAGCCCCAGCCCCAGCATCTACTCTGAGCCCCAGCCCCAGCATCTACTCTGAGCCCCAGCCCCAGCCCCAGCCTCAGCCCCAGCCCCAGCATCTACTCTGAGCCCCAGCCCCAGCATCTACTCTGAGCCCCAGCCTCAGCCCCAGCCTCAGCATCTACTCTGAGCCTCAGCCCCAGCATCTACTCTGAGCCCCAGCCCCAGCATCTACTCTGAGCCCCAGCCCCAGCATCTACTCTGAGCCCCAGCCCCAGCCTCAGCCCCAGCCCCAGCATCTACTCTGAGCCCCAGCCCCAGCCCCAGCATCTACTCTGAGCCCCAGCCCCAGCCCCAGCCTCAGCATCTACTCTGAGCCTCAGCCCCAGCCCCAGCATCTACTCTGAGCCCCAGCCCCAGCCCCAGCATCTACTCTGAGCCCCAGCCTCAGCCCCAGCCCCAGCATCTACTCTGGGCCCCAGCCCCAGCATCTACTCTGAGCCCCAGCCCCAGCCCCAGCATCTACTCTGAGCCCCAGCCCCAGCATCTACTCTGAGCCCCAGCCCCAGCATCTACTCTGAGCCCCAGCCCCAGCCCCAGCATCTACTCTGAGCCCCAGCCTCAGCCCCAGCCCCAGCCCCAGCATCTACTCTGAGCCCCAGCCCCAGCCCCAGCATCTACTCTGAGCCCCAGCCCCAGCATCTACTCTGAGCCCCAGCCCCAGCCCCAGCATCTACTCTGAGCCCCAGCCCCAGCCCCAGCATCTACTCTGAGCCCCAGCCCCAGCCCCAGCCTCAGCATCTACTCTGAGCCTCAGCCCCAGCCCCAGCATCTACTCTGAGCCCCAGCCCCAGCCCCAGCATCTACTCTGAGCCCCAGCCTCAGCCCCAGCCCCAGCATCTACTCTGGGCCCCAGCCCCAGCATCTACTCTGAGCCCCAGCCCCAGCCCCAGCATCTACTCTGAGCCCCAGCCCCAGCATCTACTCTGAGCCCCAGCCCCAGCATCTACTCTGAGCCCCAGCCCCAGCCCCAGCATCTACTCTGAGCCCCAGCCTCAGCCCCAGCCCCAGCCCCAGCATCTACTCTGAGCCCCAGCCCCAGCCCCAGCATCTACTCTGAGCCCCAGCCCCAGCATCTACTCTGAGCCCCAGCCCCAGCCCCAGCATCTACTCTGAGCCCCAGCCCCAGCCCCAGCATCTACTCTGAGCCCCAGCCCCAGCATCTACTCTGAGCCCCAGCCCCAGCCCCAGCATCTACTCTGAGCCCCAGCCCCACCCCCACAGTCACCTCCTGTAACCGTTTCACCAGGGGGGGTAAGGGGGCCGGGTGAAAAGGGGGGAGACAGGCCACAGAGCGGGGGGGGGGCGCCTCTAGATATCTGAACGGCTGGACAGGGGTTACATGTGTGGGTGACTCAGCCAGATGCTGTCAGAGCGAATCAGAACGCATTGTGAGCGTTCAGCAGGAGCAACCTGACAGCGGTCTGTTTCCATGGCAACGCCTGGGGGGAACCGGACTAAGCGACTGCATGCTGGGAAAGAAAGATAGAGAGAGGCGGGGTTGTTGTGGGGGAGGTACAGACAGTTCCCTAGGAATATGAAGGGAACAAGGGAGGAGGGGTGGAGGGGTGAAGGGGTGGAGGGGTGAAGGGGTGGTGGGGTGGAGGGGTGGAGGGGTGGTGGGGTGGAGGGGTGGAGGGGTGGTGGGGTGAATGGGTGGAGGGGTGAAGGGGTGGTGGGGTGGAGGGGTGGAGGGGTGGAGGGGTGAAGGGGTGGAGGGGTGAAGGGGTGGAGGGGTGAAGGGGTGAAGGGGTGGAGGGGTGAAGGGGTGGAGGGGTGGAGGGGTGGAGGGGTGGATGGGTGGAGGGGTGAAGGGGTGAAGGGGTGGAGGGGTGGAGGGGTGGATGGGTGGAGGGGTGCTGTCGAAAAATGTATGACCCCCCCTCACACACACTCTTTGTACTAATAATGGGGGGGAAAATCTGCATTTTCTGAGCTGAGGTACTTAGCAACACAAAAGAGAAAATCTTGAATGATGTTGAATCAGTGAATGAGATTTCAACAGCTACTAAGAAGGGAATGAAGATGCTTCTGAATGGTAGGCTGGGAACACTTCACATATAGGAGTTCTGGCCTGGGGAACAGGGTTGGGGTCAATTCCGAAAGTAAACCAAATTCCAATTCCACACATTCCTAATTGAAAAGGATGGTAGAGAATTGGACTTTCAGTGGACTTCCTGAATTGACTGGAATTGTAATGGCATTAACCTTAACCCTGCAGAGCAGTCTTAAAACAGGGGTTTAAAGTAACTGCCCAGTGAAATTCATATTCTGTTAACTCATACCCAAATAATGTTGTTCACTCTTCCTATACCCGGATTTGTGGCCAACGCATAAAAAAACCCCACCTCAAACTTGTATCACAGACCGTTTTAAAAAACGCTTGCTATTTCCTCATAGAGAATGATGTCATCCTCCTCAGGATGATGAGCTGGCCAATCAGCGGTCTTCTCGCGTTAATATTTGTAATGACAGGTGTACGCCCACACCATTCTGTTGTTGGGGGTACGCCCACATCATTCCAACAGAGAAAAGCATCACTACATCAAGGGAAATATATTATTCTTTCAAACAAAAATATCTACATGTATTTCAGGATGTTGTGTATCCCTGGTAATAATCAGAATTCAGGTAAACATAACAGTTTTGAAAACATATCTTGTCCTGAAAAAAAGTGGTCTCCTGGCACAACTTAACCTGGGTATGGGGTAAACTGAGGATAGGGACATGGTAAGTTGAGACAGCTTGGGGTAAGTGGGTGATGGTGCTGGTAGGTCAAAGTTTAATTCATGGAATGGGGGGTGTGGTATATGGTATATCTGAAATGTACGCCTACATTCAGATATAGATCTCTCTGGTCAATATCACTTACCCTTCTATTTCTTGAGCAGTTGTCTGGGACAGGGACGTTGTTTAGATGTGCCAATTCGTATGCAAGTTCTCTGCATGAGGCTACTGAGCCCATGAAACTGGTCCGCGAGATCTCTTGGTACGTTTAGCAAGCTCAGACTCCATGTCATCAGATAAGACCTTGTGTTCCTCTGCTACTCTATCATAGCCTCTCTTTCACACAGGTCCATGTTCATGTAAATCTTCAGAGTCATTCAGTCCATTTTTCTGCTCCAATAGACTTCTCCTCTCACTTCCTTGGCGGCTTTCTCAAGAACCTCAAGGGGGGGGCTAGAGAACCCTGCTTGTTTAACATTTGTATAAACGGGGGCATGTTGATGTCTGCTCTGTAATGATAAAAATTAATCTTGAATTCATACGCATGACACGTTGCAAAAAACTATATGCATATTACGCATTAAAACAGATCTAAATGTAATCATCATTTGTGCGGGATATGGAGGCCATTGGCTCAACTTACCCCAAGGCAAACATTCTGACATAGCTTTCATTCTAGGTTTAGGACCTCATCGTGTAGCTTATGGAGATCCCAACAGTCTTAAAAACGATCTACGTTGGTTTGGATACATCATGAAACCTCTAACACAATACATTTATTTGACTTTGGTGATAATCAGTTTTTTGGACCTAACTTGCTTAGGAAAACGGAAAACGATTGAACTCATATTCTAATGAATTATAGGTCATATTTTATAGAAACACTGGACAGTCAGTTTAACGTCCCTCTTCTGATCTCAACACATTATTTACAGTTTTGTGATTTCTCGTGTATTTTTCAGCAGTACAGGACGGATTAAATTACACCCTAATTAGCAGACGCAGCAGTTTGTATGTCAACGGTGTGGTCGAAAGAAACAGGGAACAGACAATAACTTTCTTCCTGCCTGAGGACATAAGAGCACATCCACTATTCATAACAGTATTTCCTCCTGACCATCTCTATGGACAGAAAGATCCCTTTATCCACACTGGACAAACACACACAAAGACAGACAGACAGAGAATGAGAGAGAGAGAGCGAGCGAGAGAGAGATAGACAGACAGAGCCTGAAAGAGAGACAGAGAAATAGACGGACAGAAACACAGACACGCCTAAACTGAGGATGAGAGGAGAGCCAGCATGAGGCCAATAAATAATTCAGAGAAAACATTCCTCTATCGCCCTCTGCTGACGGCATTTTGTTGACGGACATCAAAGTGTAAGTGTCTGGATTTAACTGGTATTTTACTGCATTTTCCATTGTGTGTTTGTGACCCATGTTGACGAAGTGGCATTTGAGATGATTCCTCCACTGCAGTTAAAAACAACAACCCATTAGACTCATTAAGAACTTTGTTATTTCAGAGACGGAAGTTAATATTTATGGAGAGTTTTTTTTTTTTTTTAGAGAGGAGCGAGGCTGGGCGACAGACTGGAGAGAGCAAGCCGGAGCTCTGAATTGAGTAACATTGGGGTTGAGGGTGCACTGATTAAGTAGATGTGGGAGGCGGGGTGAGGGGATGGATTAGCTGACAGGTAAACAGGGGAGGAAAAGTGAATTGAAGTCTCTGGGGATCAGGGTGATTATGCTGACTGGAGGGTGGATGTGACCTAGGGGGGGGTGCAACAGCAAGGCTCAGATCAACATGTTGCCACTGTTTTATACAACTGAAATCATATGTGTGTGTACATTGTACAATCAATTAGTGAAAGAGCATCAAATATCATATTGATTTGTATACATCCACTGTATAGGCTACATGGAATCCCAGCGAAGTTGGTTCCTGTTTCGGTCTTCTTTGGTCACGTTCGCTTGGGTCAAACAAAAACACCCCGATGATTGGTTGGACAATAGACCCTCCCACAATGCAGGATGACGTTGGTGAAGAGCAACTGCAGAAACTTGCAGTCAAAACCTCATGACCTTTTGATCACATGATTTCTGTTCATGTCGACGTGTAGGCGGAAGCCTGAACCTTTTAATCCCCATAATGCAACACACTTTTCAGACTTCACAAAAGTGATCCGCTCGAACGCGCCCCATTACTCCTCCTAACACCCTAAAGCGCTGAAAGGGTGTGGTTGCACCTATCCAGTATCCATCCTTACAGTGTGGGCTTTTGCTGCGCTCAAAACAACTGGGAAGTCAGAAATCTCAGACTTCTGACGTCAGTGCGTTCAAGACAACTTGGAACTCTGAAAAAAAACTAGCTCCGACTGGGAAAAATCACTTTGAACGGTCATCTAACTATGGCATCTTTCTAGAACTCCGACTTTCTGACCTGAAGATCACTGACGTCATGATTTCACCTTGTTTTTTCCCCCCAGAGTTCCAAGTTGTCTTGAACGCACCATTAGTACCTGTGTGATGCAATATGACCTTCATCATGCAATAAACCACTATGACAAAACCCATTTTAAGACCCATACTGTAACGTCAAGCATTGTGACTTCAATATGACATTCTGAAACAGAATGGCACAACAGACCTTTTGGCACCACATTATGACATCACTCAATGTGACGTCTTTATGAATCTAACACCACATCATTTTGACAATGGTCATTGTGACATCATTATGATTCACATTATAACAGCCATAGAATTAGGAATTAAGAATTGTAATTAAAAATATGATCTCTACGGTAACATCCATAGAAATGGATTCTATTTCTATGGTGACATCATTCCACATATGGTGACATCCCTCATTGTGACCAATCACCAGGTGACCAAAACACACAGGTAAATGCATAGAGTTTATTTAGAATGATAGAGATGACAGTGATATGGAGTGCAGCTCCAGTCAGTATATGGTGGGAGGAGGTTGGGATATAGGAATCTTTCATCATAATCATCAACCACATGAGATTCAGGAACCATTCATGTCAACTACTGCAACAGAAATCATGACCTGTGTGATTTACATTTACATTTTTAGTCATTTAGCAGACGCTCTTATCCAGAACGACTTACAGTTAGTGAGTGCATACATTATTTTTCATACTGGCCCCACAACCCTGGCGTTGCAAACGCCATGCTCTACCAACTTGAGCTACATCCCTGCCAGCCATTCCCTCCCCTACCCTGGACAACGCTGGCTAATTGTGCGCCGCCCCATGGGTCTCCCGGTCGCGGCCGGCTACGACAGAGCTTGGATTCGAACCAGGATCTCTAGTGGCACAGCTAGCACTGTGATGCAGTGCCTTAGACCACTGCGCCACTCGGGAGACTATGTCATCTATCCAAATCCATCAATCTAGGAGCCAAAGACCCCTCAACACAACCACATCACACGTATTCATCTGACTCCAAACAACGTCCCTGCCTGGCCACCCCACTGAGAAAACAACATGGAGGATAGGACTTTATCTTTAACCAACATCTCTTAAATTGTCTTGTTAATATTTAATACCTTAACAAATATACATGTGCTTTCACAGTATTCCCAACACCCTAACATAACTGTATCAAATGAAAACAAACACCCCTCTTGTCAATCAGAACTTCATTCATCAAAATTAATATCAGTATAGGAGATTACAGTTAATATCAGTATAGGAGATTACAGTTAATATCAGTATAGGAGATTACAGTTAATATCAGTATAGGAGATTACAGTTAATATCAGTATAGGAGATTACAGTTAATATCAGTATAGGAGATTACAGTTAATATCAGTATAGGAGATTACAGTTAATATCAGTATAGGAGATTACAGTTAATATCAGTATAGGAGATTACAGTTAATATCAGTATAGGAGATTACAGTTAATATCAGTATAGGAGATTACAGTTAATATCAGTATAGGAGATTACAGTTAATATCAGTATAGGAGATTACAGGCTAGAACAGTGTGGGCTTTTGCTGCGTTCAAAACAATTGGGAACCCAGAAAAAACTAGCTCCGACTGGGAAAAATCGTTTTGAACGGTCATTTAACTCTGGCATCTTTCTAGAACTCGGACTTTCTGACCTGAAGATCACTGACGTCATGATTTGACCTAGTTCCCCGCCCCCCCAATTGTCTTGAAAGCCCCATTAGCCAATCACAGGTTGTCCCCGTTCTCATGAAAACGATGCAGATGATCCGAGTACCTGAGAAACAGACAGAGGGGAGGAGATTGAAAGATTAGAGGCAATCCTAACATTTCCCAAACACACCGCTGTTCAGCTAGCCGGGAGGAAGACAGAATGAAACACTCACTTCTTAGCACAGAAGGCAGAGCAGTCTCGACCAATGCTCTCACTCCAGGCAGTCTTATACAGCACCTGAGAACACATACAAACACACATTATGACAACAGCACCATCTCTGAATAGCCAATGGGCACTGGGGTAGTGGGAGGTGAAAGGTCAAAGGCCACGTACCAGGAAGACCAGGCAATGCAGGAAGATGGTGTAGAAGAAAGCAATGGTTCTGGCCATCTTGTTGGAGAGAATGCCACGACCCTGAAACACATGGGTGAATTACAACCGTTTGTTCACGCCTCACACATATCTATCTGTGTGTGTGACTCACCAGGCTGAGCGTAGCCTTGTCCCAGGGGCTGAGGCTCAGGTATCTACGCTGGCGTTCCTGTAAACACACACATGATGAGTCTCAACAACAACAACAACAACAACAACACTACAGGCCAGCAGACATCAACACATACTGATCAATACACATCAACAATCTACCTACACATCTGAATCTTCAGTAACATGTGTGGTTCTCCTCACCCTCTTGCTGAAGGAGGCGAAGGGATCCAGTCTCTCCTCATACTGGGAGGAGTAACGCACCGTAACCGTGTCATCACTGCCTCCAGCCTGTAGGGGGCAACAGACAGACAGTCAGTCAGTCAGGAAGACCATAGCCAGATGTTGGTCTGTTGCAAACATGTTCTCTATTGGACAGATTCAGGTCGGTCCCTCCCTGTTTGCTTCCGTTCGGGTTCCTAGAGTAAATGGTTACCGGTTTCTGATGCAAAACGTGCTGCAATAGGCCAAATAGCTTGCTATGGTCTGCGACTAACGAATACACCCCTGCTCTTCTGAAGTGACGGGCGGCCAGCCGGCTACTCACTCTGCCAGGGTAACTCTGGAGGAACTTGATCTTCTCGTAGAGTTTGATGTTGTCGGCACGCAGGCTGTCCAGCTCACTCTGCAGGGCCTGCACGGTCACCTGCATGGAACGACTCTCCTGGAGGACACAGAGACGGAGAGAGGTTAAAAAAAGAGAGCGAGTGTGGGAAAGTCAGAGTGTGTGTGTGTGTGTGTACGAGAGGGACTCACAGACTCCAGCTCCTGGTTACGGGAGCGGAACCTCTCCCTCTGGCTGGAGATGATGGAGAGGAGAGAGTCCATCTGGCCTTGAGGCAGCTCCCCCTGGGGGGCCACGCCTAGGCCTGGGGAGGGACGGGACACACACAGCACCGGTAGATACACTCAGCAGAACACACACACACACACACACACACACACACACACACACACACACACACACACACTGCTACTAAGACATACTGTACCTGCGAACATGGCAGTGGCCTCTTTGATTGGCTCAGGGATGGTGTCAATCATGCTAGCCAGGTCAGCCCCCTGGTGGAGAAAACATCAAATAAATATTTATTTAAAGTGCATTTAAAATTGCAACACACTTTACAATAATAAGATAAGAAAATATTAGACATGGGTCTATTCGGGTTTAGGGGCCGATTCAGACATTTTTTGACTTAAGTCCATGTTAAGCCAACTTCTCTCGTCTGAATAGGGCCCTATTTCTGTATTTGTATTTATTAAGGATCCCCATTAGCTGCTGCCAAGGCAGCAGCTACTCTTCCTGGGGTCCAGCAACATAGTTATATACAGTTTAAAATATTACATGACATTACATTTCCTAACACTTTACCCAATACATTTAGTGTGTTCCCTCAGGCCACTACTCCACAATCACATATTTACAATACAACATCCATGTGTACGTGTGTGTAGAGTGAGTGTCTTATCATGTGTATGTGTGTCCTATGTGCATCCCAGTGATGGGGAGACTGCCTCCAGGCTGGTAGTGGTGTCGCAGGGTCAGAGAGGTGAAGCATCAGGGAGGTGAAGGGTCAGAGAGGTGAAGGGTCAGGGAGGTGAAGGGTCAGGGAGGTGAAGGGTCAGGGAGGTGAAGGGTCAGAGAGGTGAAGGGTCAGAGAGGTGAAGGGTCAGGGAGGTGAAGGGTCAGGGAGGTGAAGGGTCAGGGAGGTGAAGGGTCAGAGAGGTGAAGGGTCAGAGAGGTGAAGGGTCAGGGAGGTGAAGGGTCAGGGAGGTGAAGGGTCAGAGAGGTGAAGGGTCAGGGAGGTGAAGGGTCAGAGAGGTGAAGGGTCAGGGAGGTGAAGGGTCAGGGAGGTGAAGGGTCAGGGAGGTGAAAGGCTAACCTCAGCATCAGGGCGCGACAGGGAGGACATGGTCTGGACGGTGCTCAGGTCGTGTTCCAGTTTGAGGATGAGCTCCTTCTGCTCGGCGCTGGTCCGGACCGCAGACGAGAACTCCAGCTGCAGGTCTGCATAGCGTCCTACAGAGGGACAGAGGACAGCCGGTCAAACACACAACATCACAGACCACCATCAGTGCACACGCATACAATACATCAAAAAATGATTTTTCAGTCCCATGTAATGTGTATTATTCTGGTCATATGTAGCTCCCGAGTCAGTCACTTACTGGTTTCAAAACGTCAACAGCCGTGGGTCTCCATCAATCCACGAGACATTCTACCTAGCAGTGGCGAACGTGACTATAGGACCTAAGCCTTCAGAGGGACCAAAAATCTTCCAATAAGTTGTATCAAATATATATACATATTTTTTTATAACAGAAAAACGTATCACTTAATGCGCCCGACATTATATATTCTGTAGTCAGACCATTCTAGTTCTAGTGAAGGAGGAGCAATCCATTATGATGACATTATAGCCTCCCGAGTGGCGCAGTGGTCTAAGGCTCTGCATCGCAGTGCTAGCTGTGCCACTAGAGATCCTGGTTCGAATCCAAGCTCTGTCGTAGCCGGCCGCGACCGGGAGACCCATGGGGCGGCGCACAATTGGCCCAGCTTCGTCCAGGGAATGGGAGGGAACTGTAAGTCGCTCTGGTTAAGAGCGTCTGCTAAAATGACTAAAATGTAAAAAATTATGAATGAATCAAACAGGCCGTACATACAGAGACAAAATCTGCGTGGACAACATGACATACATCATAAAGTAACTGTTCACACAACTTGTGGTAGCCAACACCACTAGCACACTGTCACCAATAGCGACAACACCACTAGCACACTGTCACCAATAGCGACAACACCACTAGCATACTGTCACCAATAGCGACAACACCACTAGCACACTGTCACCAATAGCGACAACACCACTAGCACACTGTCACCAATAGCGACAACACCACTAGCACACTGTCACCAATAGCGACAACACCACTAGCACACTGTCACCAATAGCGACAACACCACTAGCACACTGTCACCAATAGCGACAACACCACTAGCACACTGTCACCAATAGCGACAACACCACTAGCACACTGTCACCAATAGCGACAACACCACTAGCACACTGTCACCAATAGCGACAACACCACTGTCACCAATAGCGCCAACACCACTATCACACTGTCACCAATAGCGCCAACACCACTGTCACCAATAGCGCCAACACCACTGTCACCAATAGTGCCAACACCACTATCACACTGTCACCAATAGCGCCAACACCACTGTCACCAATAGCGACAACAACAGTGTCACATCAAAGGTTACATGCTCATGGTGCTGAAAGGACAGCGACCATAATACTCTGTAGTCCTCTGTAGTTAAATTGGTGGAGCATGGGACCACAAATACGTAAATACGTAAAAATGTATGCACACATGACTGTAAGTCGCTTTGGATAAAAGCGTCTGCTAAATGGCATATTATTATTATTAATACCTGTGTACTCCATGGCGCTGAAGGAGAGACAGTTTTGGTCAAACATATAGACATGGCAGATGGACAGGTGACAGCAGTCACATGCAGCAACAAATTATTAAGAATAAGCAGCCCATTCACTCCAGTAGGCCCCCTTGAAATCATGCCAATACAAAAGCACAACCATTTCATGTCAAAATGAAATTAACAAACCAACTATTACTTCACTGCAAATATATTTTATCACAATAACCAGTGTTCGATCTAAAGTTTAAATGCAACAATATTTTCAGTCATTATTTTCAAAGAGCTAGCTAACAAGCGATCTGCAAAAAAAAAAAAAAACTGTGCCACTCACCAGATGATGATCATTTGTAAATGAAGTTTGAAAGTTAATCTTGAAAAGGGTGATGGTGACAAATTAGCAACAACATCCACCTTCAAGTTGATAACAGCTGCTGCAGCCGCCATTGTCCGACTACTGCTAACATTGTCACACTACTACAACACAAACTAGCTAACATTACTAGCATTAGCGTGGGAAAATACTGCTGGCAACACTGATTCATTTATCTTGTGCTCTCTTCTTGTTCCTCTTAAAGGTTTTATGGCAGACAACTGTGGGGATTTATTATTCTCATAAATGGATGGGATGACTAACTTAGAAAGAATGCATTAATGATTAAAGCATAAAAGGTCTGTACTGTACTGATATGAATTGTTTCACCTAACAGGCTGTGATTCATGTGAGGAACGTTAGGGGCTAGGATGAGATAAAACTTGTATTTCTTATAGATAAGACTTGTATTTCTCACAGATACGAACACTGCTTCTTTGTTGTCTGTGAACCGTCCTTGAACGTAGTACAGTGGAATGGTGTCTTTTGGGTGCTAACTCCACAGGTTGTTATGATAGCAACTTATGCCTGGGAACGGTGGAGCGCCAAGGGGTTGGGACCAGCCCGTGCGCCAACGGATAGGCTGAGTAAGTCTAAACCACGCTCAGTCTCTACTCTGATTGGCCAGCAGAGAGCGGGAACTAAAAACTGTCAAGAGTATTTGAAGAAGTAACAATGGATTAGTTCTCTGTCTGCCCTGCGAGGTTTTTCAGTGAGCCCGTATACGAACCATCATACTTATCATACATACATTTTGCATATAATAAATTTAGCTTGGATTGAATATCTCTTGATTATGTTTTCTCTTATTCCAATACCAGATTTGAATTACGCAATTTCTAACACAACCCATCAGTGTAACGTAAGTCTAACGCCACCTACTGTATTGGCTGTTTATCAGCCTGCTATTCTGTATTATGACATCTTTACCTCTTGCCCTCTCAGTAGTGATGGTCCCACCCATTGCAAGTCAAAATGTGATAGGTTCATTCCACCGTCATTCCAAAATTCTGCTATAATACAGTTGAACGATCGAGGCCTTCTATCCAGCTTCTGAAGGCCTAGCCAATGGCTGGCTGAGCTAGCTAGATTTCTACCCAGATACCACCAAATAAAATCCTGATTGGATAATGTTTTCTATTCAATAATAACCGCTCTCTTTCCAACACAAACTGAGGAGATGAAATCAGAAAATTATTACAATTATTGTAAAGATGAAATCGAAATTAAATTGAAATAAATAAACAAACATAGATTTTTTACAAATAAATCCTTAGGCCTTCTGTGAAGGCCCTGACGGTTCCCCACTGCTACCTAGGCTTCTGAAGAAAACTTACCAAAACACAGGATGGAACAGCTTCTTGTCTGAATCAAGTTCTCTGTCCTAACTGGCTTGTGATAGAACTGTGTGAGTTAAAAGCACCACACATTCAAAGTGAGGCTAATGCCTAAAATATGTGTGTGTGTGTCTCTCTATGTGTCTCTCTCAATTAAATTCAATTCAAAGGGCTTTATTGGCATGGGAAACGTATGTTTACGTTGCCAAAGCAAGTGAAATGGATAAACAAAACTGAAATAAACAAAAAATAAACAGTAAACAGACTCACAAAAGTTCCAAAGGAATAGAGACATTTCAAATGTCATATTATGGCTATATACAGTGTTGTAACAATGTGCAAATAGTTAAAGTACACAAGGGAAAATAAACACATGGGTTGTGTTTACAATGGTGTTTGTTCTTCACTGGTTGCTCTTTTCTTGCGGCAACAGGTCACAAATCTTGCTGCTGTGATGGCGCACTGTGGTATTTCACCCAATAGATATGGGAGTTTATGAAAATCTCTCTCTCTCTCTGGTGTGTCTCTCTGAGTGTCTGTCTCTGTGTGTGTATGTGTCCCTCTCTCTCTTTGTATTCCTCCTCTTTCTCTCTGTATTCCCCCTCTCTCTCTCTGTATTTCCCCCTCTCTCTCTCTCTGTACTCCCTCTCTCTCTGTATTCCCCTCCCTCTCTCTCTCTGTATTCCCCTCCCTCTCTCTCTCTGTATTTCCCCTCCCTCTCTCTCTCTGTATTTCCCCTCCCTCGCTCTCTCTGTATTTCCCCAATCTTTCCTCTCTCTTCTGTTACTACCCCCTCTCTACTCCTGTATTCCCCTCTCTCTCTCTCTTTGTATTCCCCTCTCTCTCTCTTTGTATTCCCCTCTCTCCTCTTGTATGCCTCTCTCTCCTCTCCTGATTTCACCCTCTCCTCCTGTATTCCCCTCTCCTCCTGTATTCCCCTCTCTCTCTCTCTGTATTCCCCTCCCTCCCTCTGTATTCCCTCTCTCTCTCTCTCTCTCTACCCCCCCCCTCGGTCTCTCTCTCTCCCTCTCTCTGTATTCCCCTCTCTCTCCCTCTCTCTGTATTCCCCTCTCTCTCTCTCTCTCTGTATTCCCCTCCCCCCCCCCTCTCCCTCTCTTTGTGTCTCTCCCTCAGATTGTTGCTGCTTTACTGGCGGGTCAGTTATTAATATTTGTTGTCATTTAGTAGATGCTCTTACCAAGAACGACTTACAGAAGCAATTAGGGTTAAGTGCCTTGCTCAAGGGCACATCTGCATATTTCTCACTTAGTTGGCTCTGGGATTCGAACCAGCGACCTTTCGGTTACTGGCCCAAGGCTCTTAACCACTAGGTTACCTGCCACCCCAGTTAAAAGATGATCTGAGGGAAATTAGGTCAACAAAGTTATTGCAGCGCATTATGGTAGGGAACGAGACGGCAACAGGAATTCTCAAAAGAAACATCAGACAACACCACACTGTGTGTTTGTATAAAAGATATTTACTTCAATTATCACACTTAGGGTGCAGGGGAATAATCATAATGGTAACAACAACACTACAGTACATTGTAATAAACAGTGATATTGCTTCTCCATGTTGTGTAAAGGACTGTCTTACAGTGCTGAGAACAGACATGACATGATAGAAAAAGAGGGAGAACAGAAATCTTCAATGGAAACAAGCAAACCCAAGGCAAGGCCAATGAAAGCAGGTTCACAAAATGTCTGGCGCAACCAAGTGCTAGCGAAGGGGAACGATCTTAATGACCTCCTAACCATCCCTAAACAACAATACACTGAAACACTAACAAGTGACTGGGATAGGATGAAAAGACTTCAGCAACAATTTGTTGTCGATTGAAATGAACAAATGATAACGCTTCACTCTGAACTGAAATAACACAAAATGATTGGTTCAAGCCACCTAAAGCATATTAAAGCTTTGTGAAGAGGTAACGATAATCCCCCTCACATTTTGGTTTACAACTTACTCTGTGCTGATCTCAAGAGTGGGAAAGGGTGTAGGGAGAATTTCACCAAAAGTTCACTTCAACCAAAGATTCATTTCATCTTAATGGCTGATATCATATTGATAAGAATATTACATAGAAAGTGTCTTAGCTTTGTGAATGATATGTGGATTTTGTGCAGTGAACGGAACAAGACTTTTTTTTTTTTGTTGTTGCGATTTTAACTTGAAAAATACTTAATCTCTGTATACAACTGCTTTTTCATAACAAAGACCCATTAGCGTGACCTGGTCGGAAATAAAACCAAGAAACAGGAAAAGTTTAAATTGACTTGGTAATCTCATTATGGAAATCCATTGTTCAAACCACATGTAGCCACCTAATGACTGGACAGCATGACAACTCATTAAACAGGAAGTCAGTCCAGTGCAGGGTTGGGGTCAATACCATTTAAATTCCAGTCAACTCAGGAAGTTCACCGAAACTACAATTCCAATTCTCTTCAATGCTTTTCAATTAGGAACATTTTGAATTTGGTTTACCTTCTGAATTGACAGGAATTGAAATGGAATTGACACCAACCCTGGCCCATTCCGCCCAGTCTCCTCATCCAGCGACTGACAGAGCAGAGCCAGCAGAGACAGACAAGGCAGAAAGAAAATGATTATGTTCATGTACTTATATATATACAGTGGGGAGAACAAGTATTTGATACACTGCCGATTTTGCAGGTTTTCCTACTTACAAAGCATGTAGAGGTCTGTAATTTTTATCATAGGTACACTTCAACTGTGAGAGACGGAATCTAAAACAAAAATCCAGAAAATCACATTGTATGATTTTTAAGTAATTAATTTGCATTTTATTGGATGACATAAGTATTTGATCACCTACCAACCAGTAAGAATTCCAGCTCTCACAGACCTGTTAGTTTTTCTTTAAGAAGCCCTCCTGTTTTCCACTCATTACCTGTATTAACTGCACCTGTTTGAACTCGTTATCTGTATAAAAGACACCTGTCCACACACTCAATCAAACAGACTCCAACCTCTCCACAATGGCCAAGACCAGAGAGCTGTGTAAGGACATCAGGGATACAATTGTAGACCTGCACAAGGCTGGGATGGGCTACAGGACAATAGGCAAGCAGCTTGGTGAGAAGGCAACAACTGTTGGCGCAATTATTAGAAAATGGAAGAAGTTCAAGATGACGGTCAATCACCCTCGGTCTGGGGCTCCATGCAAGATCTCACCTCGTGGGGCATCAATGATCATGAGGAAGGTGAGGGATCAGTCCAGAACTACACGGCAGGACCTGGTCAATGACCTGAAGAGAGCTGGGTCCACAGTCTCAAAGAAAACCATTAGTAAAACACTACGCCGTCATGGATTAAAATCCTGCAGCGCACGCAAGGTGCCCCTGCTCAAGCCAGCGCATGTCCAGGCCCGTCTGAAGTTTGCCAATGACCATCTGGATGATCCAGAGGAGGAATGGGAGAAGGTCATGTGGTCTGATGAGACAAAAATAGAGCTTTTTGGTCTAAACTCCAATCGCCGTTTTTTGGAGGAAGAAGGATGAGTACAACCCCAAGAACACCATCCCAACCATGAAGCATGGAGGTGGAAACATAATTCTTTGGGGTTGCTTTTCTGCAAAGGGGACAGGACGACTGCACCGTATTGAGGGGAGGATGGATGGGGCCATGTATCGCGAGATCTTGGCCAACAACCTCCTTCCCTCAGTAAGAGCATTGAAGATGGGTCGTGGCTGGATCTTCCAGCATGACAACGACCCGAAACACACAGCCAGGGCAACTAAGGAGTGGCTCCGTAAGTAGCATCTCAAGGTCCTGGAGTGGCCTAGCCAGTCTCCAGACCTGAACCCAATAGAAAATCTTTGGAGGGAGCTGAAAGTCCGTATTGCCCAGCGACAGCCCCGAAACCTGAAGGATCTGGAGAAGGTATGGAGGAGTGGGCCAAAATCCCTGCTGCAGTGTGTGCAAACCTGGTCAAGACCTACAGGAAACGTATGATCTCTGTAATTGCAAACAAAGGTTTCTGTACCAAATATTAAGTTCTGCTTTTCTGATGTATCAAATACTTATGTCATGCAATAAAATGCAAATTAATTACTTAAAAATCATACAATGTGATTTTCTGGATATTTGTTTTAGATTCCGTCTCTCACAGTTGAAGTGTACCTATGATAAAAAATTACAGACCTCTACATGCTTTGTAAGTAGGAAAACCTGCAAAATCGGCAGTGTATCAAATACTTGTCCTCCCCACTGTATATACGAGGGGTGTGAGCATCAACTAACAGCCTGCAATAGGAGAGTTCCATGGGGGACACAGACAGGGCCCCGATAAACACAACAGCACATAAACTCTCCGCGGTAACGTGTCCTGTGCCGCGGTAACGTGTCCTGTGCCGCTGTAACGTGTCCTGTGCCGCGGTAACGTGTACTGTGCCGCGGTAACGTGTCCTGTGCCGCGGTAACGTGTCCTGTGCCGCGGTAACGTGTCCTGTGCCGCTGTAACGTGTACTGTGCCGCGGTAACGTGTCCTGTGCCGCGGTAACGTGTACTGTGCCGCGGTAACGTGTCCTGTGCCGCGGTAACGTGTCCTGTGCCGCGGTAACGTGTCCTGTGCCGCTGTAACGTGTCCTGTGCTGTGTGAGAAAGAGGAGTGTGTGTGCTGTGCATACCAGTGATTCTGAAAGTATTTTTTTCTTACAAAAAGCCACTTCAATAAGATCTCTTTAAAAAACTATTAGAAAACATGTTTTGTTTTTGGCCCAGTGTTGCGGTCCAGACCTCCAGTACAACCACCACTTCAATAGAACGAACAATAATAACGCTTGACATGATATACAGCATCTGTACAAAAATCATCCGATTTAGCTTTACAGAAAAATATCTGTATGGAAAGTTCCTGAATACCTCCCCCCCCCCCAGCCCCCCAATCAAATCAAGCAAAAACATCAAACTGTTTGGTTGTAAAACCAGATGAGAACATTTAATATTTACAAACAACACAACTGACAACCTTCTCCACCTATCCATCAGACTAGAGCAGGATATTGTTTGTTTCAGTCTTTACTTCCAACAATCTGCAGGCGGAACCTCTTACTGTATATCTGAAAACTTGACTTTGGCTTCCAGAAGTGACTCTCTCCTACAGCACGTGTCAAACTTATTCCACGGAGGGCCGAGCGCCTGCGGGTTTTCACTCCTCCCTTGTACTTGATTGATGAATTAAAAAGGTCACTAATTAGTTAAGAACTCCCCTCACCTGGTTGTCCAGGTCTTAATTGAAAGGAAAAACGAAAAACCCGCAGACACTCGGCCCTCCGTGGAATGAGTTTGACACCCCTCTCCTAGACGAAACTGACTGTGTAAATAACCAACCCGAAAGATACATACTGCTGAACACACGGCAGACCACACCTCCTCCTCAGCAGACCACACCTCCTCCTCAGAATCCCTGTAATTCCACCAAACTTCACTCTTTAATGTTGACAGCAAAAGGTGACGAGAACACAGATACGCTAAGGCACCAGAATATGACGATTCAATTTGGTCCTCTACCTGTTCTATTGTCTTTATGAAAAATGATTAGAGAGACCAGTCCAGTGGAAGGGGTTGAGGAGAGGTCAACATGAGTGTCCTATACAGGGAATACTGTGCAGCTGTGTAGTGTTTGTAATGGCAGTCTGGCACTGGGAAGTGTGTCCAGTCAAACGGAGAGTGGCGGTCAACCCCGACTACATCATTCTGACCTGACCTCTGACCTGACACAGACAGCACCTACAGTAGTCCCACATCACTACCCGTTTCAGCACCCATTTGGTTTCCGTGACGATAGAAAATATTATTGAATATGATTATTTCAGATCAGAATATGGCTAAGGAGACCACCCAGCCCAGCATGTTGAAGGGTTTTGGTTTAGAACAGAGTCCCCTGGGTGCTGCTGGCTAAGTGTTGTCACCAGGTGTTGTCACCAGGTGATAGAATCAGACTATGGTAAACTATGCCTATACATTACAGACAGTATGATCTGTTATAAAGCAACTATTATACTATAATAGACCATTTCTGGGTCTACAGTTCATAACTAGCACAGTGCATGTCAGAGAGAGAGTGGGGGGGTGGGGGGCAGAGAGAGGGCAAGAGAGGAGGGGAGGGAGGGAGAGAGAGAGAGAGGCAGAGAGAGAGAGAGAGAGAGGGGGGGGAGAGAGAGAGAGAGGGGGGGGAGAGAGAAAGAGAGAGAGGGGAGGGAGAGAGAGAAAGAGAGAGAGAGGGGGAGAGAGAGGGGGGAGAGAGAGAGAGAGAGGGAGGGAGGGGAGAGAGAGAGAGAGGGGGAGAGAGAGAGAAAGGGGGGAGAGAGAAAGAGAGAGAGGGGAGGGAGAGCGAGAGAGAGAAGTAAATGTGACTGTGTGGATTCTCAAGAGAGCAGCTGAAGATGAGCTAACAATTCCTATTGTTCTTCAGTTGATGTGAGATGGGCAGGGAGGTGATAAGCATGCCATTGTAAATCAGGGGAGTAGAGCTACAGGCCATTGTAAATCAGGGGAGTAGAGCTACAGGTCATTGTAAATCAGGAGAGTAGAGCTACAGGCCATTGTAAATCAGGAGAGTAGAGCTACAGGCCATTGTAAATCAGGAGAGTAGAGCTACAGGCCATTGTAAATCAGGAGAGTAGAGCTACAGGTCATTGTAAATCAGGAGAGTAGAGCTACAGGTCATTGTAAATCAGGAGAGTAGAGCTACAGGTCATTGTAAATCAGGAGAGTAGAGCTACAGGTCATTGTAAATCAGGAGAGTAGAGCTACAGGTCATTGTAAATCAGGAGAGTAGAGCTACAGGTCATTGTAAATCAGGGGAGTAGAGCTACAGGTCATTGTAAATCAGGGGAGTAGAGCTACAGGTCATTGTAATTTAGGAGAGTAGAGCTACAGGTCATTGTAAATCAGGAGAGTAGAGCTACAGGCCATTGTAAATCAGGGGAGTAGAGCTACAGGCCATTGTAAATCAGGGGAGTAGAGCTACAGGCCATTGTAAATCAGGGGAGTAGAGCTACAGGTCATTGTAAATCAGGAGAGTAGAGCTACAGGCCATTGTAAATCAGGGGAGTAGAGCTACAGGTCATTGTAAATCAGGGGAGTAGAGCTACAGGCCATTGTAAATCAGGGGAGTAGAGCTACAGGTCATTGTAATAAGATGCAGTCATGCAGATGTAGGGAATACCGTAGTACAGTATCAAAGATTTTTTTTCAGAATTCCTGATTAATCAACAAATATATCACATTTCTCATTGGGGGGTGGACTTATAACTCTGGTAATGCTTTTGGTTTATAACCAATGGAGAGAGAAGGCCTGAAATTCTGTGAAGAGATTGGCTAAGGAGACCACGCAGCCCAGCATGTTGAAGGGTTTTGGTTTAGAACAGAGTCCCCTGGGCGCTGCTGGCTAAGTGTTGTCACCAGGTGTTGTCAGTCACACACAGTTTAAAGAAGCAGTGTTGTGCTGGGCTGCAGGTCAGGAGTAAAGCGCATGTGCTTGGTTTGGAACCACGTGTAAAAGGCATACATTTCCCAGAGTTCCTTGGAGTGCTGAGCTCAAGAGGAGGGGTTTGCTTAGCAGCCCCCAGTCATAGTAAGTGCTTGGTGTATGTATGGATGGATCTGTTATGGCTGCTATGGATACGGGCTGCTTCCACCGATGCATAACAGCAGTATTACTGATCAATCAATAACAGTGTTATGATGGATGGATAATGCTTTGGAGCTTGGAGAGGCCATAGAGAACGGTCTTGTAATGCATGGAGCAGACAACATAAGGGACACGACGGATCCGACTCTGTAAAAGAATACATCCTTATTTCCTTAAATATATACTCTTTAAATCTCAATTTGGCAGAGATGATTCCCCTAGGCTGGGATCAGTCAAGACTCGTTTTCATGAGTTTATATCATATTACCAGACACCATTTTGACAAAACATACCTACTAACAGGAAAAGGAGACAGCAGCAACGTGGTACTGTGATTCCTCTAAAAGCCCCCTACTGTACATCAAGGCTGCCTGTATGACTTCACTGGCTTTATTGCAGTGTGTTCTTCAGACAGCACCAGTATATGTGAAGCCTGTGAGGGGTAAAGCATGTCCTGGAGACAGCATGTTGTTGCCCCAACAAGACACCATCAGAGAGGAGACATGGGAAGATATAGATATTCTGTGATCTTGGAGATAGTGCTAGTTGATATTCTGTGATCTTGGAGATAGAGCTAGTAGATATTCTGTGATCTTGGAGATAGAGCTAGTTGATATTCTGTGATCTTGGAGATAGTGCTATTTGATATTCTGTGATCTTGGAGATAGTGCTAGTTGATATTCTGTGATCTTGGAGATAGTGCTAGTTGATATTCTGTGATCTTGGAGATAGTGCTAGTTGATATTCTGTGATCTTGGAGATAGTGCTAGTAGATATTCTGTGATCTTGGAGATAGTGCTAAGAGATACTCTGATCTTGTCTTCTAGATGTATCATTTGATTCAACAATAAAGAACGTGAGCGTTGTGAGGGATACGGTTAATGCCTGAGTATGTACTGTAGCTTACATTTCTTTTAAAAGCTTCCAAAAAACTTCAGAATTCATCAATATACAAACGTATGAGAACTAACTACATCTTGTAAATATTACCCAATACTGCCGGCAGTCTATCAGTAAAAAAAAAAAAGTACTTGCCCTGGGGTAATCCCTTACGCAATAAAAACATCAATCAAATAATAAGACATCAAATGAAAAATACAGCACCTATAAATAAGCGGAATAAAAACCAAACTATACCTACGATATGACCATAAAATGAGTCTACAGTAAATAATATCACACTACTTCATGATGATAAGCCTAATAATAATAATAATAATAATAATAATGATGATAACCCATAAAACAACAGCTTATAGTAGAAAGGGTGGGTGGCAGTTGTGCACGCTTAAGTACGTACGAGAAAAGACCCCATTCAGAACAATAAAAAAACACACTTACATACACACGATGGGGAGGCAGTGGGCTGACAGGCACAGAGAGAGGTCGTTTGCGAGGGGTAAGGGAGAGAGAGAGGGAGGGGTAATGGAAAGAGGGAGGGAGGGGTGAGGGAGGGAGAGAGGGAGTGGTAATGGAAAGAGGGAGGGGTAATGGAAAGAGGGAGGGGAGGGGGGAGAGGGGGTGAGGGAGGGAGAGAGGGAGGGGTGAGGGAGGGAGGGGTGAGGAGGGAGAGAGGGGTGAGGAGGGAGAGAGAGAGGGAGGGGTGAGGAGGGGAGAGGGAGGGAGGGGTGATGGAGAGAGAGAGGATGGGTGAGGAGGAGAGAGGAGGGTGGGTGGGGAGGGGTGAGGAGGGAGGGGTGAGGGGTGGTGAGGAGGGAGTAGGGAGGAGGGATGATGGAGAGAGAGAGGGATGGGTGAGGGAGAGAGAGGAGGGAGAGGGAGGGTGAGGGGGGGGTGAGGGACGGAGAAGAGGGAGGGGTGAGGGAGGGGGTGAGGGAGGGAGGGAGAAAGGGAGAGAGTTTTCATAAAGATCTAAACCAATAGGAGTGTACAATACTAGTTACTGTATATACACACACACAGCTGCCGCACCCTTCAGGTGACCCACAGTCTAGTGAGACAACGTGTGGAATGGAGGACTTGTAGCCCTAGGCCGGGTTGGAGTAGGGTTGGGTAGGGTATGGAGGGAGGGTATGGGTGCTGGGGTGCTGGGTATGGAGCAGGTGGTAGGGTATGGAGCAGGGTCTGGTGTGGGTCTGGGTGTAGGGTCTGGTTGTGAGGGTATGGAGCAGGGTTGGGAGGGTTGGAGCAGGGTTGGAGTGGGTTGGAGCAGGGTCTGGTGTAGGGTATGGAGAGGGTTGGTTTTAGGGTATGGGAGGGTCTGGTGTAGGGTTAGGGGTCTGTGGTAGGGTATGGAGAGGGTATGGAGAGGGTATGGAGCAGGGTATGTGTAGGGTATGGAGCAGGGAGGTATGGCAGGGTTGGAGCAGGGTATGGTGTAGGGTATGGAGAGGGTCTGGTGTAGGGTATGGAGAGGGTTGGTGTAGGGTATGGAGCAGGGTCTGGGAGGTTAGGGTATGGAGCAGGGTCTGGTGTAGGGTAGGGAGAGGGTCTGGTGTAGGTAGAGAGGGTTGGTTGGTGGGTATGGAGAGGGGTGTATGGTGTAGGGTCTGGAGTAGGGTCTGGAGTAGGGTCTGGTGTAGGGTATGGAGTAGGGTCTGGAGTAGGGTCTGGTGTAGGGTATGGAGTAGGGTCTGGAGTAGGGTATGGAGCAGGGTCTGGTGTAGGGTATGGAGCAGGGTCTGGAGTAGGGTATGGAGTAGGGTCTGGTGTAGGGTATGGAGTAGGGTATGGAGTAGGGTCTGGTGTAGGGTCTGGTGTAGGGTATGGAGCAGGGTCTGGAGTAGGGTCTGGTGTAGGGTATGGAGCAGGGTCTGGAGCAGGGTCTGGTGTAGGGTATGGAGCAGGGTGTGGTGTAGGGTATGGAGCAGGGTATGGAGCAGGGTCTGGTGTAGGGTATGGAGCAGGGTCTGGAGTAGGGTATGGAGCAGGGTATGGAGCAGGGTCTGGTGTAGGGTATGGAGCAGGGTATGGTGTAGGGTATGGAGCAGGGTATGGTGTAGGGTATGGAGCAGGGTCTGGAGCAGGGTCTGGTGTAGGGTATGGAGCAGGGTATGGTGTAGGGTATGGAGCAGGGTCTGGAGCAGGGTCTGGAGTAGGGTCTGGAGTAGGGTTGGAGTAGGGTCTGGAGAGGGTTGGTGTAGGGTCTGGTGTAGGGTCTGGAGTAGGGTTGGAGTTAGGGTCTGGGTAGGGTTGGTGTAGGGTGGAGTAGGGGCAGGGTCTGGTTAGGGTTGGGTAGGGTATGGAGCAGGGTCTGGGTAGGGTATGGAGAGGTCTGGTGTAGGGTATGGAGCAGGGTTGGTGTAGGGTATGGAGTAGGCTGGTGTAGGGTAGGGATGGAGCAGGGTCTGGGTAGGGTAGGAGCAGGGTCTGGAGTAGGGTTATGGAGTAGGGTCTGGTGTAGGGTATGGAGCAGGGTCTGGAGTAGGGTATGGAGCAGGGTCGGAGCAGGGTATGGAGGGTCTGGGTAGGGTATGGAGCGTAGGGTATGGGAGAGGGTATGGAGTAGGGTCTGGGTAGGTATGGAGCAGGGTCTGGTGTGGGTATGGAGCAGGTCTGGAGCAGGTCTGGAGTAGGTCTGGTGTGGGTATGGGAGGGTTGGAGAGGGTATGGAGCAGGGTCTGGTGTAGGGTTGGAGTAGGGTATGGGTAGGGTCTGGTGTAGGGTATGGAGCAGGGTCTGGAGTAGGGTATGGAGTAGGGTTGGAGCAGGGTCTGGAGAGGGTATGGAGGTAAGGGTATGGAGAGGGGTATAGGAGAGGGTCTGGTGTAGGGTATGGAGTAGGGTATGGAGCAGGGTAGGGTGTAGGGTATGGAGCAGGGTATGGAGTAGGGTTGGGCAGGGTATGGAGCAGGGTTGGGTAGGGTATGGGCAGGGTCGGGTTTAGGGTATGGAGCAGGGTCTGGTGTAGGGTCTGGTGTAGGGTATGGAGCAGGGTATGGGTAGGGTATGGAGGCAGGGTCTGGTGTAGGGTATGGAGCAGGGTCTGAGATGGTATGGATGGAGTAGGGTTGGAGCAGGGTCTGGTGTAGGGTTGGTGAGAGGGTATGGGAGCAGGGTATGGAGAGGGTTGGAGCAGGGTAGGAGCAGGGTATGGAGCAGGGTCTTGGTGTAGGGTATGAGAGAGGGTCTGGAGTAGGGTCGGAGTAGGGTGGGTATGGGTAGGTGGACAGGGTATGGGTAGGGTATGGAGCAGGGTCTGGTGGAGTGGGTTGGAGTAGGGTCTGGTGTAGGGTATGGAGCAGGGTCTGGTGTAGGGTATGGAGCAGGGTCTGGTGTGTGGTATGGAGTAGGGTTGGAGTAGGTCTGGTGTAGGGTATGGAGTAGGGTATGGAGAAGGGTCTGGTGTAGGGTATGGAGTAGGGTCTGGTGTAGGGTCTGGTGTAGGGTATGGAGCAGGGTCTGGTGTAGGGTATGGAGCAGGGTCTGGTGTAGGGTATGGAGTAGGGTCTGGAGTAGGGTCTGGTGTAGGGTATGGAGTAGGGTATGGAGTAGGGTATGGAGTGGGGTATGGAGTAGGGTCTGGAGTAGGGTATGGAGAGGGTCTGGTGTAGGGTATGGAGAAGGGTCTGGTGTAGGGTATGGAGCAGGGTCTGGAGTAGGGTCTGGAGTAGGGTCTGGTGTAGGGTATGGAGAGGGGTCTGGTGTAGGGTATGGAGTAGGGTCTGGTGTAGGGTATGGAGTAGGGTCTGGTGTAGGGTATGGAGTAGGGTATGGAGAGGGTCTGGTGTAGGGTATGGAGCAGGGTATGGAGTAGGGTATGGAGTAGGGTATGGAGAGGGTCTGGTGTAGGGTATGGAGAAGGGTCTGGTGTAGGGTATGGAGAAGGGTCTGGTGTAGGGTATGGAGAAGGGTCTGGTGTAGGGTATGGAGCAGGGTCTGGTGTAGGGTATGGAGCAGGGTCTGGTGTAGGGTATGGAGCAGGGTCTGGTGTAGGGTATGGAGCAGGGTCTGGTGTAGGGTATGGAGCAGGGTATGGTGTAGGGTCTGGTGTAGGGTATGGAGTAGGGTCTGGTGTAGGGTATGGAGAAGGGTCTGGTGTAGGGTATGGAGCAGGGTCTGGTGTAGGGTATGGAGTAGGGTCTGGTGTAGGGTATGGAGTAGGGTCTGGTGTAGGGTATGGAGTAGGGTGTGTGTGGAGCAGGGTCTGGTGTAGGGTATGGAGAAGGGTCTGGTGTAGGGTATGGAGAAGGGTCTGGTGTAGGGTATGGAGCAGGGTCTGGTGTAGGGTATGGAGTAGGGTATGGAGTAGGGTATGGAGCAGGGTCTGGTGTAGGGTATGGAGTAGGGTATGGAGTGGGGTATGGAGTAGGGTATGGAGTAGGGTATGGAGAAGGGTCTGGTGTAGGGTATGGAGTAGGGTATGGAGTAGGGTCTGGTATAGGGTATGGAGTGGGGTATGGAGTAGGGTCTGGAGTAGGGTATGGAGTAGGGTATGGAGCAGGGTATGGAGCAGGGTATGGAGCAGGGTATGGAGAAGGTTCTGGTTTAGGGCTTTAGTATAAGCCACCATAGGGAAGTCCCAAACGGTTCCCCTGCCTCTCTGTATGTAGCCTGGTACAGCACTCCGTGTTATGGACCAAACCTGGGACTTCCAGTACAGATGATATTGACATCTCTGTGTTGTTTTGTCCAGTTTTCCTGATTTGGCCTGGAAATATGATTTGTGAGGAAAACATTGTCAGAGACCCACTAGGTTAAACAGGTTAAACTGTGATGTGTGCCCTTACTAACCCAGACAATGACACCATATCACTATGTTAGCTACTATGTAGTTTCATCATATATCATGTTTCAACTGTGAGTTAACCATGTTTCATTTTTAAGTAAAAACAGTAACTCTTCTATTTTTAGCTTTTGTAAAAACAATTCCCTAATTTGTACTCTTTAGAGTCAATAGACTATGCAATCTCTTAGTGGCAAACAAATTGCTATATAAAAATCATCCTTGGAGCACACTAGGGGAAAAAGGTGGTTCCTCAGATGAGTGGTGCACCAGAGATCCCGCCCCTCAGCACCATCACATGGCTGTCAGCAGGACCACACAGGGGTCAAAGGTCATTCTTCCCTCAGTAACTATGGAAACTTGGCCTTTTTAGGTTTGATTCTTCTCTTCAGCTGAATCATCTTGCTCCTCAGCCATAGACACACACACAAAATGGAGTAACAAGGTTAAAAAGTCAGCCTGCCCTGTGCGGAGTGAGAAAGGCAAAAGGTTTGTAACAGTCGCTGGAAAGTGTCGGAAAAGAGGTGGCTGGGCATACTACGTGAGGTCACTACGTGAGGGGAGATCTGTGGACAGGACACTGAGGTTTCTCTTCTAAACTAACAGCCCCTGGTCCAGCTCTGTCTGTCTGTGGTGCATCCTGACAGTAACTGGTGGTGTTTGGGGGTACCTGCCAGTAACTGGTGGTGTTTGGGGGTACCTGCCAGTAACTGGTGGTGTTTGGGGGTACCTGCCAGTAACTGGTGGTGTTTGGGGGTACTTGCCAGTAACTGGTGGTGTTTGGGGGTACCTGTCAGTAACTGGTGGTGTTTGGGGGTACCTGCCAGTAACTGGTGGTGTTTGGGGGTACCTGCCAGTAACTGGTGGTGTTTGGGGGTACCTGCCAGTAACTGGTGGTGTTTGGGGGTACCTGTCAGTAACTGGTGGTGTTTGGCGGTACCTGCCAGTAACTGGGGTGTTTGGGGGTACCTGCCAGTAACTGGTGGTGTTTGGGGGTACCTGTCAGTAACTGGTGGTGTTTGGGGGTACCTGCCAGTAACTGGGGTGTTTGGGGGTACCTGCCAGTAACTGGTGGTGTTTGGGGGTACCTGACGGTAACTGGTGGTGTTTGGGGGTACCTGACAGTAACTGGTGGTGTTTGGGGGTACGTGCTAGTAACTGGTGGTGTTTGGGGGTACCTGCCAGTAACTGGTGGTGTTTGGGGGTACCTGCCAGTAACTGGTGGTGTTTGGGGGTACCTGCCAGTAACTGGTGGTGTTTGGGGGGTACCTGCCAGTAACTGGTGGTGTTTGGGGGGTACCTGCCAGTAACTGGTGGTGTTTGGGGGTACCTGTCAGTAACTGGTGGTGTTTGGCGGTACCTGCCAGTAACTGGGGTGTTTGGGGGTACCTGCCAGTAACTGGGGTGTTTGGGGGTACCTGCTAGTAACTGGTGGTGTTTGGGGGTACCTGTCAGTAACTGGTGGTGTTTGGGGGTACCTGCCAGTAACTGGTGGTGTTTGGGGGTACCTGCCAGTAACTGGTGGTGTTTGGCGGTACCTGCCAGTAACTGGGGTGTTTGGGGGTACCTGCCAGTAACTGGGGTGTTTGGGGGTACCTGCTAGTAACTGGTGGTGTTTGGGGGTACCTGTCAGTAACTGGTGGTGTTTGGGGGTACCTGTCAGTAACTGGTGGTGTTTGGGGGTACCTGCTAGTAACTGGTGGTATTTGGGGGTACCTGCCAGTAACTGGGGTGTTTGGGGGTACCTGCCAGTAACTGGGGTGTTTGGGGGTACCTGTCAGTAACTGGTGGTGTTTGGGGGTACCTGCCAGTAACTGGTGGTGTTTGGGGGTACCTGTCAGTAACTGGTGGTGTTTGGGGGTACCTGCCAGTAACTGGGGTGTTTGGGGGTACCTGCCAGTAACTGGTGGTGTTTGGGGGTACAGTAGGCCCTGTGGCCAGCAGGACGACTAAGTGATTCTCAGTAACAAAACTAAACTCAGTATTCAGAGCCTAAGATTCCCTCCTTTTTGTCTTCTCAGAGTTCATTATATCTTCTTCTCCATCTTGGTTTGGCAACCACTTCTTCTTCTCTCCTTTCTCTCAGGAAAGAGACTGGGTATAAAAATGGCCATTGAGCTTGGCTTTGGCTGTGCCCTCTTCTGTCCAATAGGAGAAGACCAGGGGGACAGTCAAAGGGCAGAGGTTGTGAGGTCATGAGAAGGGGCGTGGGGGGAGGTTCAGAACTCCCACTCAGAGGGGTCTTCCTTGCCAGCAGCCTTCTCCAGTCTGTGGATTATATTGTTGAGGTTGGCAGCTTTCTTCTTGCGCAGGGTATTGTCCCTGGGGTTCTTAGCCGGGGTTGAGGTGTGACTGGAGGGGGCTGAGAGACAGAGACATGCCTCAGGGAGACTGAAGAGGCTGCTGCTGCTGGAGCCCGGCCCGGCCGAGCCTGAGGTAGTGCAGTTTCTCTGGGCAGGGGATCCACCTGACAGCCTGGCTTCAACCCCGGCCTCCATGTCCCGGTCCTCAGAGGCTCCTCTGTGCCCCCCGTGGCGGCCCTCCACCGTGCCGTCTGACTCTGTCCCGTCACAGCTGTCCCCCTCCCCGGCTTTAGCTGCTGCCGCTGACCCTGCAGCCTGAATCTCCTCTATGAAGAGCTCCCTGCGGATACGAGACCTGGGGAGGGACGGAGAGCAGGGGGTTAAGACTAGGTTGGGCGATATTACGACAGCCATCGACGATGGTGAAGACATTGTGATGTGACAGACGATGGTTGTGACAGACGACGGTTTAGCCTAGTTGAACTTGACTGGCGCCGTGCAGTAAAGCAGTACAAAACGCAGCTCACAGCAGTAATTAGCCTATTCCTATTGGCTGTAGCCTATTTCAATCAATATGTTATATACAGAACGCAAGAGAATAATGTAGGATAGACAGAGCGGGGAGTTCCACCAAAGCAGCGCAAAATGTCCAGAAATAAAATAAAATATTGTTTCTCTCTCTCTGTCAGATGCATGGGGTCCTTAAGACTATAGCTGTAAATTGTATTTATTTTATTTTTTATTTTTTATAAACAGACACTCCCTAACTATCTTGTGTCCAACGGTAAAAAAAATTTAACGAGTCTACCTTCCCTTTTCTGCCTATTGGAAAGGCAGTGAATACGGCTGAAGGCTACGTTTTCGTTTTATTCATGGCTTTCTCCTGACCAAACATTCAATGGAACAGTGTTCCATTTCTCAAAGGTATTGTAATAGCATAAAAATGCAAGGTAGCCAGGGGACCAATAACGAGAGAGAGAACAAACCATATCAATAGCCTATAGAAACATCGAATGACCAGTTTAATCAAGTTACAGCTTATTAAGAAAGATATGATCCCACGCGGGCCGGGAAAATCCCTCCATGTGAGGTTGAAAACCAAATGTCCTCATTTCTCCTACTGGCCTATCATAAAAGCTTTAATACAAGCTAAGGTTATGAACAGTAGCTTATTTCCCCAAAAATTCACGCCTACGTAGGTGTTGTCCTAAAGTTGTTGTGGCTTTCAAAAATTACAAGAATGACAGTCTATGGCCTAAGCCTTGGATATTCTCATCAATCACAGCTTTATGAGAGACAGAACAAACAATATTATTTATTTATATATTATTTTCTGACGCAAATAAAGCGTTATTATTATCCAGTGGTGAAGACGGTAGACTGCGTCTATCCAGGCCATGATGTCACTACGGTAAGACAGCCCCGTTCATCATCAGACAGTCACTGCTCCATCATGTGTTGGGGCCACAGACGGACACAGAACACACACACCCACACACCCGGACACAAGCACAACCACACCCACCCACACACACACACACACACACACACACCTACTCCACCACCAGAAAGGATTACTAGAACAGATTTGCCATTGCCTGCACTTAGCCTCTTGTTTTAACAGCATTATCTTTCGTCCAGTCGCAGTTGATTTTGCGCTATATCCCAACTGCTGTGTTGGCAAAATTTTTTATTTATAGACCTTCTACAACAGTAAGGAAAATAGCATCGTACATCACCATATTTGATGGGCAGATAATCCCGGTAGAACAAAGGTTGACGTCGGCCATCTCTAACGGGTTGCTGTCATACTTTGCAGTGCAGTAAACTGACCTGTAGTTGTGGAACCAGTTGATGACGGTGCTGGTCTTGAGGTTGAGCTGGGAGGCCAGCTCCTCAATGGTTTTGGGGGACGGGTAGGGCTTCTCCTGGTAAGCACTCTTCAGAGCCTCCTTCTCCTCGGGACCCAGGACCACCCGGACTTTCTTCTGGTACAGCTGAGGAGGCCGCTGGTGCTGGGGGCTGGAGCTCTGGAGGAAGTCCGGCCCTGCCAGGCCACCGTCCACAGAATGGCCGTCACTCAGCGAGCTGTGGCGCCTCTTCAGGTAGGCTGCGGAGAGACAGGGAGAGGATGAGATATCGTTGTAGATAAACACAGTGTACTGGTACCAACACCCACTAGGGGGCGGTAATGTCTAACTTCAGCAATACATGGACAGAGTCAGCCTCTGAAAACACCACAGGCTACAAATGTGCAAATGACAGCATGGATTTGAAATTTTCTAATCTCCTACAGTACAGTACACACTGATACAATGAGCTGATAAAAGTGTTCCACTACACAGGGTCAGCTCATTGTTTGTCTGCCTTTCCTCCCAGCTCTGCTATTGGCCTGGTCCCCACTGCTCTATTCTAACCTCTGACCTCAGATCAGTGACTAGGGCCATCTTCACCCTTCTGCCTGCGCTCAGTGAGCTCCAACATGTGGTGCAGCCTCTCACCTCCAGGCCTGCTGTGGGCATTGTCATGACTGTCCTGGGAGGATCCAAATGGGCAGATCAGGTTTGCAGGGAGAGCTTACTCCAGATCTCCTCCCACCCGCAGAGGGGGGGGGGGAGGGGGGGGGGGGGGGGGGGGGGACTGTGGGGTTTTGACACCTCACGGCCTGTCGTAAATATAAGGAGAAGGAGACTCTCTCTCCCCCTCCAGTATTAACGAAAGGAATGTCTTTGTTTACAGACTTTTCCCGCCGAAACTCTAACACGAATACTGCAACAATATTTCTAACGTAGAACGTGGGGACTGTTCAGAGGCGATCTAAAGAATAATAATGTAATATGGGTTATTTTGTGATGTCATTAAAAATGTTCTAAAGGAAATACTGTGACTTGAAAAGTATACACACTAACTGTGTGAAGTGTCCATCCTCTACGCTGTGTATGAAGTATGAACAATGATGAAAGTGTTTTTGTTAAGAGAGGGATGTGATCTTAGAAACTATAAGAGGAAATTGTTTCTCTAACTTTGTACAAGTGAGTAGTCACCGCCCCCCACTTGAGTGAGGTCAGAGAGCGTGTCAACGTGACGGAACCGTCCCTTTTTCGACCAGAGTGCATAAAGGCTTAGTAGAGAAATGAACCTTTAGGCCAGAAAGACGTGAAGCAGCCGCTACAAGTTAAAAAGGGTTGGAACATATGAGACCAGAACATCGCCAGGCTGCAGCTGCATGTGTGAAGTTGTTTAAACTCTGAATAACAACACGAGGTGGAGAAGGAAACTCCCCTCTCAGACAATCACTGGTACGGCTGATTAGCTGTCCTAAGTACAATATCTGGAAAAGTGAATTTAAGTGGGACCATCCTACTAAGCTACTCTCATCACCCCACTGGGGAACCATGGACACGGCTGGCTAGCCTATCTTCACAGAACCAATCTTCCAGAACGAGTGGAAGGAAAATCCATTCTGTAGTTCTGTTCAGGACTACATGACAAGTCACCGGACAACTACAGAGGCCCACAACAGTAGAAGACTTGTTGTAACAACAGTAGAAGGAGATGAAGTTGCGTGGAAAAAGGAATGGGGGGGGCGAAATATACTTCTCCCATGGGCTAAGAAACTCAAAAGGGGTGATGATATTAATTAACAGTAATTTCGATCCGAATGTGCAAATTGTCCAAAGAGATACGCTAGGTAGATGGATTATTTTAAATATGTTATTGGACCATAAACAAATATGGCTCATTAACCTTTATGGACCAAATAATGATGATCCACACTTCTTAGAAAATATATTTAATACATTATCGACCTTGCAAGCAATTCAAGACTCTATTATTATGGTGGGAGAATATAATACCGTTTTAAATAGCTCAATGGACCGTAAAGGAAATCACACTACAAACAATCACCCTCATGCTCTTAAGGAAATCGTGAATGTCATAGATACATTAGAACTAGTAGATATATGGAGGCTTAAATATCCTGATCTAGTGAGATAAACATGGCGGAGAATCAATCAAGCTAGTCGTCTTGACTTCTTTCTTATGTCATTCTCGTTGGCACCAAAAGTTTAAAAAGTGTTGATAGGGGACAGAATGCGGTCGGACCATCATATAATTGGCATATACATTACTCTTACTGAATTTCCACGTGGGCGAGGATATTGGAAATTTTATCAAAGCCTATTGGATGATAACTTGTTTTTAACTAGGACAGAGGAATTTATAACTGATTTTTTTCCGACATAACATAGGTACAGCAAATCCCCTTATTGTATGGGACACCTTTAAATGTGCCTTTAGAGGCCATGCAATTCAGTACTCATCTCGAAAACAAAAGCAATTTAGGTCAAAAGAGTCCACACTAACAAAGGAAATAGAAGGTCTAACAGAACAGATAGACAGCAATAAAAACTAACACAGAGGCTCGGAATAAATTGGAGGAAAAACTAAAAGAAATGGAGAAACTTATTCAAGAAAGATCAAGTGTAATATATTATAAAAATAAAGCAAACTGGATGGAATATGGGGAAAAATGCACCAAATTCTTTTTAATCTTCAACATAGAAATACTACCGAAAATAATTTATTGAAACTGGTTACAAAGGACGGAGTCACCCATGATTCACCAAATTATATTTTGAAGGAGGAAACAAAGTACTTTAAGCATATGTGTTCGTTTCAGTCGCCTCCATCTCCTCTAACTGAAGCTAATTGTAGAGATTGTTTTTCTATTGATAATGTAAAATTAACAGCCATACAGAAAGACTCATGTGAAGGTGAAATTACAGAGGAGGAACTTCTGGATGCAATTAAAGACTTTAAGTCCGGGAAAACTCCAGGGTTGGATGGCATACCAGTCGAGGTATACCAAACCTTTTTTGATATACTCAGAGGACTGTTATTAGCATGTTTTAACCACTCCTATGTAAATGGTAGACTATCTGACACTCAAGAAGAAGGTCTGATCTCATTATTACTGAAACAGGATACAAGTGGAAAATATAAAGATCCACTCCATTTACAAAATTGGAGGCCCCTTACACTTCAGTGTTGTGATGCAAAAATCCTAGCAAAATGTATAGCGCATAGAATGAAAAAGGTATTGTCGGACATTATTCATTCTAATCAGACAGGTTTTTTTACATGGGACGATACCTTGGAGATAATATAAGGCAAGTACTGGAAACAATAGAACACTATGAAAAATCTGGGAAACCAGGCCTGCTATTCATAGCAGACTTTGAAAAGGCATTTGATAAAGTACGACTGGAGTTTATATATAAATGCCTGGAGCATTTCAATTTTGGACAATCTCTTATAAATTGGGTTAAAATCATGTATAGTAACCCTAGGTGTAAAATAGTAAATAATGGCTATTTCTCAGAAAGTTTTAAACTGTCAAGAGGAGTGAAACAAGGTTGTCCACTATCGGCATATCTATTTATTATTGCCATCGAGATGTTAGCTATTAAAATCAAATCCAACAATAATATCAAGGGATTAGAAATCCAGGGCTTAAAAACACAGGTGTCATTGTACGCTGATGATTCATATATTTTTTTAAATCCACAACTTGAATCACTCCAAAGCCTCATAGAGGATCTAGATACATTTTCTAACCTCTCTGGATTACAACCAAATTATGATAAATGTACTATATTACGTATTGGAGCACTAAAAAATAAAAATTTTACATTACCATGTAGTTTACCAATAAAATGGTCTGATGGTGATGTGGATATACTCGGAATACATATCCCAAAGGAAATAAATGATCTCACTCCAATATGTTTTAATAGAAAGTTAGCAAAAATAGATTAGATCTTTCTACCATGGAAAGGAAGATACCTGTCAATTTGTGGAAAAATCACCCTGATTTACTCTTTAGTATTATCCCAGTTTACCTATTTGCTTATGGTCTTGCCTACGCCTAGCGAACAGTTTTTCAAATTATATGAGAAAAAAATATTCCATTTTATTTGGAACGGCAAGCCAGACAAAATTAAACGGGCATATTTATATAATGAATATGAATTAGGAGGACAGAAATTATTAAATATTAAAGCATTAGACCTATCACTAAAAGCTTCAGTCATACAAAAGTTATACTTAAATCCGAACTGGTTCTCTAGCAAACTAGTAAGATTGTCTCACCCTATGTTCAAGAAGGAACTTTTTCCCTTTATTCAGATTACAACGCCTCACTTTCAGGTATTTGAAAAGGAAATCTCCCAAATATCACTATTTCTAAAACAAGCCATTGAAAGTTGGTTGCAATTTCAATTTAATCCTCCAGAAATGACAGAACAAATATTGCAACAAATATTGTGGTTAAACTGAAATATACTAATTGATAAAAAAACAGTTATTTTCTTAAAAAAGGTATAATCTTCGTAAATTATATTATCGGTAGGAATGGTGGAGTTATGTCGCACATGCAGCTAACAAAAACATATGGAAATGTCTGCTCTACCCAAACTTACAATCAAATAATTGCAGCATTACCGCAAAAATGGAAGAGGAAAGTGGAAGGAGGAAAAAGTAAGGAACTTGTCTGTCAGCCTTCCATTAAAGAACATAATTGGTTAAAGAAAATTGTGATAAATAAAAAAGTATATCAGTTTCATTTAAGGACCAAAAGATTGACAGCCGTCCCATATAGATTGCAAAATAGTTAGGAAGAGATTTTTGACGTACCGATCCATGGCATAGTGTTTATGAACTGATACGCAAAACGATACCGGATTCAAAACTTAGAATTGTTCAATTTAAATTATTATATAAAATTCTTGCTACCAATAGAATGTTATTTATATGGGGGATACAATCTTCCCAGCTCTGCAGATTGGCTGTGAAGAGACAGAATCATTAGATCATTTGTTTTGGTACTGTCCATTTGTAGCTTGTTTCTGGACACAGGTCCAGGACTGGCTGAAGGATTGCAATATTTGCATGGAGCTGACCCTGCAGATAGCACTACTGGGTAATCTGAAAAGTCATAGTCAATCGATCAATAATAATACTTTTAGCAAAGATGTTTATTTTCAATTTACAATCTGTAGAAACAATGAGAATAGAAAGGTTCAGAACTTTTGTAAAACATCACAGTAGAAAAATAAAATGCAAATTAATTACTTAAAAATCATACAATGTGATTTTCTGGATTTTTGTTTTAGATTCCGTCTCTCACAGTTGAAGTGTACCTATGATAAAAATTACAGACCTCTACATGCTTTGTAAGTAGGAAAACCTGCAAAATTGGCAGTGTATCAAATACTTGTTCTCCCCACTGTATGTGTGTATATATATATACACACATACAGTGTAAAATAAAGGGAACACTTAAACAACACAATGTAACTCCAAGTCAATCACACTTCTGTGAAATCAAACTGTTCACTTAGGAAGCAACACTGATTGACAATACATTTCACATGCTGTTGTGCAAATGGAATAGACAACAGGTAGAAATTATAGGCAATTAGCAAGACACCCCCAATAAAGGACTGGTTTTGCAGGTGGTGACCACAGACCACTTCTCAGTTCCTATGCTTCCTGGCTGATGTTTTGGTCACTTTTGAATGCTGGCGGTGCTTTCACTCTAGTGGTAGCATGAGACGGAGTCTACAACCCACACAAGTGGCTCAGGTAGTGCAGCTCATCCAGGATGGCACATCAATGCGAGCTGTGGCAAGAAGGTTTGCTGTGAATGTCAGCGTAGTGTCCAGAGCATGGAGGCGCTACCAGGAGACAGGCCAGTACATCAGGAGACGTGGAACAGGCCGTAGGAGGGCAACAACCCAGCAGCAGGACTGCTACCTCCGCCTTTGTGCAAGGAGGAGCAGGAGGAGCACTGCCAGAGCCCTGCAAAATGACCTCCAGCAGGCCACAAATGTGCATGTGTCTGCTCAAACGGTCAGAGACAGACTCCATGAGGGTGGTATGAGGGCCCGACGTCCACAGGTGGGGGTTGTGCTTACAGCCCAACACCGTGCAGGACGTTTGGCATTTGCCAGAGAACACCAAGATTGTCTACTGGTGCCCTGTGCTCTTCACAGATGAAAGCAGGTTCACACTGAGCACGTGACAGACGTGACAGAGTCTGGAGACGCCGTGGAGAACGTTCTGCTGCCTGCAACATCCTCCAGCATGACCGGTTTGGCGGTGGGTCAGTCATGGTGTGGGGTGGCATTTCTTTGGGGGGCCGCACAGCCCTCCATGTGCTCGCCAGAGGTAGCCTGACTGCCATTAGGTACCGAGATGAGATCCTCAGAACCCTTGTGAGACCATATGCTGGTGCGGTTGGCCCTGGGTTCCTCCTAATGCAAGACAATGCTAGACCTCATGTGGCTGGACTGTGTCAGCAGTTCCTGCAAGAGGAAGGCATTGATGCTATGGACTGGCCCGCCCGTTCCCCAGACCTGAATCCAATTGAGCACATCTGGGACATCATGTCTCGCTCCATCCACCAACGCCACGTTGCACCACAGACTGTCCAGGAGTTGGCGGATGCTTTAGTCCAGGTCTGGGAGGAGATCCCTCAGGAGACCATCCGCCACCTCATCAGGAGCATGCCTGGCGTTGTAGGGAGGTCATACAGGCACGTGGAGGCCACACACACTACTGAGCCTCATTTTGACTTGTTTTAAGGACATTACATCAAAGTTGGATCAGCCTGTAGTGTGGTTTTCCACTTTAATTTTGAGGGTGACTCCAAATCCAGACCTCCATGGGTTGATACATTTGATTTCCATTGATAATTTTTGTGTGATTTTGTTGTCAGCACATTCAACTATGTAAAGAAAAAAGTATTTAATAAGATTATTTCATTCATTCAGATCTAGGATGTGTTATTTTAGTGTTCCCTTTATTTTTTTGAGCAGTATATATATATATATATATATATATGTATATGTGAGTGTGTATATAAAAAAACAGAAGACTTGTTGTAACTGTTGGACAATCAGAGCCTTACGAGCGAGCTGTGAGTTGGCCCGACCAACTCCCTTTCCAGGGTGGCCCGGTTCAGAGAGCGAGAGCTACACGGCAGCACCTCACGTAAATACATTCATTATTTCTTACTCCAAGCGGGCGGCGGTTCGAGTGCAAAGTACAGGAGAAATATAAGTGAGAGTAGTTTCTAAATGTACCAACGTTAAGTGTCTCTGTCCCGGTCTCTCTACCTCTTTCTCTTTTGTAACAAGCAGTCATGTTGTTGTCAGTCTGCTAGGGACCTGTTGTTCATGTATTAAGTGTGGATGTTATCCTGTGTTACCATTTAGTTAGCTAGTAAATAAATAATTAAACCAATCTGTGTAGTACTGAATCATAAGTAAGGCTGGGGTTTTTGCAGATGCAAGGAGGTTACGACGTTCAGAATGATGATATGATAAGAGGTTATGATTAATAAGTTGACTGTTTATCGATGATAGACCTTCTAGAGTTTAATTCGGGAGATGGTAACTCTTTAAACAACTGCTCTCGTGGTGCCCCAAATCCTAATGAGTTAATTGTTACATGATTAATTTAAAATTGGGTAACAATTAAACATAGTTAATTAGAGAAATAACAGTCATCAGATTACTGTTAAAAGTCACGTCACGACAGCATGCTCAGTGTGAGGGGTCAGGTGTCACTAACAGCCTGCACAGAGACAGCTGGGGAAGCCAGGCCTGGTCCGAGATCTGTTTGTGCTTTTGCCAACTCCATTGACTAGCAAATCATGTTTTACAAACAGCTGAAGTCCATTACTTTTGCTCTTCTGCCCTTTCTCTCATATCTATCTATAGTACAGCCTGAGAGAGGAACAGAGCAATGATGTCATTCTCTCATATCTATCTACAGTACAGCCTGAGAGAGGAACAGAGCAATGCAACATCATCGCTCTGTTTCTACCTTTAAGTCTCACAAGGGAGAGATAAATGATGGGGAAACCAGGAAGCAGGGGATGAAATCAAACAGGAGGCAGTTGATGAATGCAACCAGGAGGCAGTGGATGAATGGAATCACGAAGCAGCGGATTAATGGAACCAGGAAGCAGCGGATGAATGGAACCAGGAAGCAGTGGATGAATGGAACAGTGCTGAAAGGGGAGGAACCAGGAAGCAGCTCATGAATGGAACAGTGCTGAAAGGGGAGGAACCAGGAAGCAGCTGATGAATGGAACCAGGAAGCAGTGGATGAATGGAACCAAGAAGCAGGGGATGAATGGAACCAGGAAGCAGCGGATGAATGGAACCAAGAAGCAGGGGATGAATGGAACCAGGAAGCAGCGGATGAATGGACCCAGGAAGCAGCGGATGAATGGACCCAGGAAGCAGCGGATGAATGGAACCAAGAAGCAGCGGATCAATGGAACCAGGAAGCAGTGGATGAATGGACCCAGGAAGCAGCGGATGAATGGAACCAGGAAGCATCGGATGAATGGAACCAGGAAGCAGCGGATGAATGGAACCAGGAAGCAGTGGATGAATGTAACCAGGAAGCAGTGGATGAATGGAACAGTGCAGTAACGGGAGGAACCAGGAAGCAGTAGATGAATGGAACATTATTATTGATGATGATGAAGATGGAGGATGAAGACTGTCAGTGGGCCCATGGAGGGTCACATGATGTCACATCCAATAAAGCATGTGATTGTCCGTGTCCATAATCGGTCCTATCAGCACATCGGGGTGTGTTTGGTCTGTCTGTCTGTCTGTGAGATCATTACCTTTTTTCTCCAGTCGTTTCATGTCCATCAGCTTCTCCACTTTGTGTGGGTCCTGCAGCCAGAGCTGCATGCGGACGAAGGGCTCACGTCCCTTTAGACTGAGCTTGTGCCAGGGCTTGGGCCGAGCCAGCAGATCAGACACCGAGCCCTGGGTCAGACCCAGGATACTCTCCCCAAACAGACGCTGCCCTGGGGGGAGAGAGGGTAGAGCGACAGGGGGTCAGGCTGGAGGTCTGAATAGACCACCATGGATTGGGAAATCCAAGCTTGTATTTGGAGATAATTCATGAATAATCTAAAGGAAAAAAGAGATTGGGTGAAACTAAGAGAAAACGACAAAGAAGGAAAATAGAAAATAGACAAATAGGTGAGGAGAGAGGAGGAAGGAGAAAACAGAGAGGAGGAAGGAGAAAACAGAGAGGAGGAAGGAGAAAACAGAGAGGAGGAAGGAGAAAACAGAGAGGAGGAAGGAGAAAACAGAGAGGAGGAAGGAGAAAACAGAGAGAGAGAAGGAAGGAGAAAACAGAGAGAGAGAAGGAAGGAGAAAACAGAGAGAGAGAAGGTACACTAAAAGGTCTGTGAATCTCACCAAGGTTGTTATCGGTCAGCACCTCCTTGACCTTCTTGGTGAGGACGTAGGTGTCCAGTTCTGGGGACATGGCTATCGTCTCCTGGATGCTGAGGCCTGTGATGGGGCCGGGGAGGGGCAGGGGCGTGCCAGGCTGGGACTCCCCCCCTGAGGGCTCACCAGATGGGGGCTCCAGAGATGGGGCCGGGGGGGGCAGAGGGTCCCGGTCCCCCACTAAACCATTGAGTGACTCCTCAGCAGAGCTCAGTGGAGACTCCGGGGCAGGGCTGCAGCTGGCTGAGGTCTGGCTGGGAGTGCCCTCTGCTGGAGAAGAGAGGAAACACAGGGTAGGAGCAGACAGTACAGTAGGTTACACAGGAGGAAGAAGGATTTTAAGTGTTTTCTTAATCTTGGTCCTGGGCACCCAAAGGGGGCACATTTTTTTGTTTTTGACCTGGCACTTTTCAACAGCTTGATGATGAGTGGAATGAGGTGTGTAGTGCCAGGGACATCATACCACACTGCAGTCAACAAGCCCAGACAGAAGGAAACCCCCTCAAAGCCCTCAGTGTTGGCAGGTCTGACTGAGTACCCAATAGGTATTAACAATGTGGCTGAATCTCCTCTAAACTCATTGGAAGACCTTGTCCAGTTCCTTCAGATCGGCAAACAACAAAAGGGGTGTATTCACAGGGTATCTGCATCTATCCCTTCTCCCTCTTCATCTCTCTCCCCTCCCATAATCCCCTCTGTCCCCTCCCTGTCTCTGTTCTGTTTTTGCAGAAGGCTGGAATGGAGCAGTCATGGAGAATTGTCAGTGTAGATTATGTCCTCTTTACGCCTGGAGAGAGACATACTCTGCTGCCATCTCCCACCCAGAGGCCTGACACCAGGGCTGGGGAGGGAGAAGGGAGGGGGGGACAGGCTGACATGATGGCAGCAACCCACAGCTATCAACAGGCTAAGAGAGCAGTGCTCTCACCCAGGGCTGTGTGTGGAGCTGTATGAGCCAGCAGTGTAATGGTGTTCATTTACAGCTCAGCAGTTGACTGTAAATTGAGGTGGGCCTGATTGAGAGATGATCGTCAGCCATACATACGTCTGTCAGTTGTTTGTCAAGACACAGTACACACACACACACACACACAGTACACACACACACACACACAGTCCATTACCTTGGTTGTGAGCAGGCTCGATGTGTGTGTTCTGGCCCAGATCACCGTTCAGCCACAGCTGCATGCGGAGGCCTCTGGAAGTAATCTTGCTCCAGGGTTTACGACCAGACCCCAGGCCGTCACACATACTTCCTAGAGACAGAGACAGTGCCTAACACACACACACACACACACACACACACACACACACACACACACACACACACACACAATAAAACGTCAGTCACTCATACACATTATGGAATGGCTAAACAGATACAGAGACATAAGCTCACACACACATTAACTAGGTTAAGTATATTCTGAATTGTATTGGGATCAAAACTGATTGATAACTTCAGAGCTGGGTTGATTTAAATTAAGGCTGTGAGACACTAACAGACAAAATGGGAGTGTGGATGGCTGTGATGAATGATGACAGACAAAGGTAAGCTGGCAGACACTCCAGATCCCCCCCCTCTCGCTCTTCAGTAGTGAGTCACTGTTCTCAACCAGGCCTCTCTTCAGTAGTGAGTCACTGTGTTCTCACCCATGCTTCTCTTCAGTAGTGAGTCACTGTGTTCTCACCAGGCCTCTCTTCAGTAGTGAGTCACTGTGTTCTCACCAGGCCTCTCTTCAGTAGTGAGTCACTGTGTTCTCACCAGGCCTCTCTTCAGTAGTGAGTCACTGTGTTCTCACCAGGCCTCTCTTCAGTAGTGAGTCACTGTGTTCTCAACCAGGCCTCTCTTCAGTAGTGAGTCACTGTGTTCTCACCAGGCCTCTCTTCAGTAGTGAGTCACTGTGTTCTCAACCAGGCCTCTCTTCAGTAGTGAGTCACTGTGTTCTCACCAGGCCTCTCTTCAGTAGTGAGTCACTGTGTTCTCACTCAGGGCTGGTGTGTGTGTATATTCTGACTGTGGTACTCACCTCTTTCGAGTCCTCCTGGGTGTGGTTCTCCTCTCCCCCCGGTGCAGGTGTAGCACTGCAGGCCTGGGTGTGGTTCTCCTCTCCCCCCGGTGCAGGTGTAGCACTGCAGGCCTGGGTGTGGTTCTCCTCTCCCCCCAGTGTGGGTTTATCTCTGCGGGGGTCTGGGTTCATGTTGCTCCACCACTGCTCCCTCCAGTGCACCCCTCCAGCCCGGGCAGACCCCTCGGAGCTCCGACCCAGCCTGGGCACCCCGTCAGCCAGGCCGTCTGGCATCGACACTCCCCTGTCCTCCCTCTTCACACTAGAGCTGAAGTCCATGACTGTAGAGGGCGAGGAGGGGGAGACTGGGAGGGCGGTGGGGGGTTTCTTCAGGGAGAGAGCCAGGGGGGTGGAGGCAGGGAAGGAGGCAGCCAGATGGGAGACCAGTACGTCCCTCTGGGAGGAAGAGGAGGAAGAGGAGGCTTTGAGGATGGGTTCCACAGCAGCCTTTTGGGCCTCCATCTCTCTTCGAGCTTGCTTTAGGATGGATCGGATGGCCTCGTCCGAACCACCACCTCCTCCTCCTGCTCCTCTCAGCCCCCCACCAGGGGAAGTACCATGGGAGAAGTCTGCTGGACGGAGAAAGAAGACAACGGATATCAGAGACAGTATCTCTCACACACACACGCACGCACACACGCGCACACACACACACACACACACACACACACACGCTAACAGCCAATACTGAATAAAGTGAGAGTACTACCTTCTTAGACCTTTGAATAAGACAAACAGAATGTGACAAGAAAGACCACTATATATATATATATATAATGGATCATCAAGGGACAACTGTCATCCTATTCCACCAGTGGGGACAACTGTCATCCTATTCCACCATAGTGCAGAGAGGAGAGGACACTCACCAGATTTCTGCACCTGCAGCTCTCTTTTGGCCTGCTCCAGGATAGACTTGATGGCCTCGTCTGAACCACACTCCGGAGTACGGATACATATGGTGATGTTACCTGGACAAGGGGAGAGGGAGGGAGGTTAGACATACCACCAAGTGAAAGGTAATTTCAAACAGGTACTGTTTACAAAGGCACAGTATTATAGTTGATCTACAGAGATATTACAGCAAGACGCCCCACCCCCCACATAGACAGACAGACGTCACCCTACAGCTGAAACCGACTGTCTGCTCATTAACTCTCTAAATTATACACGTTGGCCTTCCTCTGATGCACGTCCCACTGTGGGGGGGGTTACATGCACAACACAGGCACACATCATCCAAAGCCACGCCACAAGGACAGAAGCAGAAGTGTGTGTGTAGGGACAGACCTGTCCGCGAGGCTTGGTCAGAGCTGGCTCTCCGCTTCGGTGCGTCCTGTGCACGGCTAAGGGGTTGGCCTGGGCCCTCTGTCAAAACAAAAAACACACGTTGCTTCAACTTCAACGCCAACTTTCAACTTCAACGCAAAACATAGCTACTGAACTGTACGACAGGGTAAACATAGCTACTGAACTGTACGACAGGGTAAACATAGGACTGACAGCTTAAACAAAGGGTTAAGGCATTTAAAGAAGGTCTGTCTGTCCACTCCCTGAAAACACACAGAGCAGAGATCAAATGCTCTGACGCGGAAACAGCAGGTCTGGCCGATCGAATGTGACTGTGGTAAACTGTAGCCCTGCCCTCCTGTTTGGTCAATACCGTTGATGTGTGAAGGTTTCAGTATTGATCATGGATGGTTAAGGGAGGCTTGGAGGCCTTTCTGGATGACTAAAGCAGCAGACCCTCACTGACAGACACAGGTGTGACGCAAGACAACTAATAGATAGACCATATTAACAGAGGAAAGGTTTGTGAAAACACACACACACACAGACAGACAGACAGACAGACATGCCTCACCTCTCTGCCGTCCCTGTATGCTGCGTAATGCCAGGATGTTCTGCTCATCAGACAGGAACTGCCTCATCTTGTGGAAGGGCTCTTTCCCCCGGATGGTCAGCTTGCTCCAGGGTTTGGGCCGAGCCAGGATCTCACTGACCGAGCCCTGGGACAGGCCCAGTACATAGTGGCCAAACACCCGCTGGCCAATGTTGTGTTTAATCAGCTGCTCCTTGATCTGCCGGGCGATCTCTGAGGTGTCCATGTCCTCCCCATCAGACACACTGCCCCCGGTCCCCTCACACTGGCTGGGAGAGGGGGACGGGGCACTGCCACTACCGCTCACATCTGGGCCTGCAGGAGACTGCTGGGGGGGCAGGGGGCTGGCCGAGAGGGGGACAGAGCTAGACCCTGGGCCAGGGGTGGAGGTAGGGGTGTAGTGGACAGGGGCGAACAGCAGAGCTGCTCCCTGAGTGGACTCCTGCAGGGCTTTGGAGTAGAACGTCTGCATGAGCTGGCGCTGCAGGAGGGAGTTGAGGGACATCTTGCCCCCCACCAGAGGGAAGGGGGGGCTGTAGAAGTCCTGGCCGATACCCGTGGGTGTGAAGGGGTGTGTCCCGTTGGTGGTGGAGGTGTTAGGGGGGTCGGAGAGGATCCGGGGCAGGAGGAGCTGGGGGGAGTGGGGGAGAAGAGGAGGAGGCTGGGAGGGGGTACTGGGTGTGGTGGTCTCCTCCACGGACACCTCTTTCCCTTTCCGCCCGGCTGACCCTACAAGAAAGGTCAAACACAATGCATTATGGGGGAGTCAACAAAAAAGGGATCGGAAAATACAAAAACTAAAAAAAGGTTATTTATTAAGTTTATTTTTTAATAAATTGATTTTCTCTCTCTCTTCTTTGCTAAACCCCCCAGACAAGATGCACATGCATTTGTGATTTGAACCTTTCTTGTAAGTGACAACCTGGAAGAAAAAAGGAAGCACTTAAATCAGTCAAAATGGCTGCTGCCCAGCCCTGAGTCTGCCAGGCAGGGAGGGGTCCAGTCAGCATCCCTGAGTCTGCCAGGCAGGGAGGGGTCCAGTCAGCAGCCCTGAGTCTGCCAGGCAGGGAGGGGTCCAGTCAGCAGGCCTGAGTCTGCCAGGCAGGGAGGGGTCCAGTCAGCATCCCTGAGTCTGCCAGGCAGGGAGGGGTCCAGTCAGCAGCCCTGAGTCTGCCAGGCAGGGGGGGGGGGGTCCAGTCAGCAGCCCTGAGTCTGCCAGGCAGGGGGGGGTCCAGTCAGCAGCCCTGAGTCTGCCAGGCAGGGAGGGGTCCAGTCAGCAGGCCTGAGTCTGCCAGGCAGGGAGGGGGGGGGCCAGTCAGCATCCCTGAGGTCTGCCAGGCCGGCATGGAGGGGTCCAGTCACAGCCCTGAATCTGCCAGGCAGGGAGGGGTCCAGTCAGCAGGCCTGAGTCTGCCAGGCAGGTAGGGGTCCAGTCAGCATCCCTGAGTCTGCCAGGCAGGGAGGGGGGGGTCCAGTCAGCAGCCCTGAGTCTGCCAGGCAGGGAGGGGTCCAGTCAGCAGGCCTGAGTCTGCCAGGCAGGGAGGGGTCCAGTCAGCAGGCCTGAGTCTGCCAGGCAGGGAGGGGTCCAGTCAGCAGCCCTGAGTCTGCCAGGCAGGGAGGGGTCCAGTCAGCAGCCCTGTGTCTGGCAGGCAGGGAGGGGTCCAGTCAGGACTCCCAATCTCTCTTCCCTTAGTTACTTGTCTTCACTATTTTCAGGGACCATTGGTGGAGTGGCTGCACCGCTACAGTATAACAGTGAATCTGATTGGGCCTGACGGCAGTATAGAGCGCTCTGACTGGTCGTCTGTGAGGGTGCAGGATATGGTTGTGATGGCCTCATTGTCAGGAGGAACTTAATTGCTTTTTTATGAATCCTTTGTTCAGTCTTTAGCTCCAGAAAAATGTCATGTTATTAACAATTTGATGTTGCAGTCTTTCTGGGCACTTAATCATACCATTCCAGACAGTGATTTGGACATTGTTATTTGTCGAGACAACAACAAACAAAAGTGTGTGTACAAAAACCTGCTCTTGATAAAAATGGCCAACAGTCATTATCCAGCGGGGAAAAAGTTATGCCAAATGTAGAGACTGCACAGCACTGTTGACACTAAGTCAAGCACTCTGTCTTCCTAAAACTGAACATGTTGCCAGGTGGATTGTATAGGAACCTCCCATTATAAACTGAACATGTTGCCAGGTGGATTGTATAGGAACATCCCATTATAAACTGAACATGTTGCCAGGTGGATTGTATAGGAACATCCCATTATAAACTGAACATGTTGCCAGGTATTTTGTATAGGAACATCCCATTATAAACTGAACATGTTGCCAGGTGGATTGTATAGGAACCTCCCATTATAAACTGAGTATGTTGCCAGGTGGATTGTATAGGAACATCCCATTATAAACTGAACATGTTGCCAGGTATTTTGTATAGGAACATCCCATTATAAACTGAACATGTTGCCAGGTGGATTGTATAGGAACCTCCCATTATAAACTGAGTATGTTGCCAGGTGGATTGTATAGGAACATCCCATTATCACAAAAGCTAATATTTTCTCATCTCTGGTATGCAAGATGTTGTGCAGCTAACTTTAACATGAAGAGATAAATCAGTGAACGTCCCCTTTACCTGAATTCTGTCAGCACTGAACATGGAATAATCATGCCAACTGCAACACACATTTGAATATGAACCCTCCGGTATATTTAATCCTGACAAAATGTCACTTGAAGCAGCAAAAAATATAAACCTAATCTGAATAGAGGAGAACAGCGTGCAGCTCCAGTAAAAAGCCTTGGTGCCAGATTTAAAACACACGTGGGAATGTCTATGAAATGAAGACATTTAATGAGTTCCAGTCTTTATTCAATCCACATTGTATGACTGGTTGGTTTCATTGTATGACTGGTTGGTTTCATCGTATGACTGGTTGGTTTCATTGTATGACTGGTTGGTTTCATTGTATGACTGGTTGGTTTCATTGTATGACTGGTTGGTTTCTTGCTGTTGTTTTTCTAGTGATACTACAATTAAAACATTCAGCCAGAATAAATCATTATCAGAGAGAATGTCAGTTTGAGTGTTGAGTGTCAGCTAAGTTTTTAAATTACACTTAAAAGAAGAGTCTTCCAGACAAGAACCGGTTCCATCCACTACCCACCTGATTCTGGTCCTGTCCCCAGCCAGTCCAATCTAGCACCGTAATACAAATAGTACAGGGACCCATATCAGTCTAAGTGAAGGACTGGTTTAGACTCAATGCTGTGTGTTGGTAACCACCTTAGGTCCCAGGCTGTAACCCCCAGACCCTAACCCCCAGGGCAGACTGACTCACCGCTCAGCTCAGTGTTTGCGATTCGCAGAGAGGAACTCTCAGACTGCAGACTACGATTCTTCTCCAACAACAACACTTCCAGGGGGTTTAGACATCTCCTGAGAGAGAGTGAGAGAGAGAAAGGTAGAAGGTAGAGAGAGAGAGAGAAGAGAGAGAGAGAGAGAGAGATAGAGACGAAGACAGCGAGACTGGCATAGAGAAAATCTTCGTGCGTCATGAGTCTCGAGTGAGGGTCTCGAGAGAGAGCTAAGCCTCTCTCTCGCTCTCGCTCTCTCGAGCTGGCTCTCTCTCTCCTCATCTCTTGAGCCCTCTCCCTCCTTCTCGACCATTCTCCTACGCTCGCTCTAGCTCTCTTCTCGCTTCCGCGCTCGTCGTCCTCTCCCTCTCTCGCTCCTCTCGCTCGCTTCTCTCTCTCTAGCTCTCGTATTCCTATGCGTCGCTCCGGTTTGTCATATACTGATCAGTAATCACATCAGCAGTATTTACAGAAGTCTGTCTGTCTCCATGCAGAGGAAGAGGAAGAGTTTTCTCTGTACCTGCACTGAGCTGTCCGATGGGCCAAACTCCATAGACTTGAGGATGCTGTGGAGCGAGAGAGAGAGAAAGAGAGACTTGGCTCATTAAAATAATATTTTACCCATGTTGTTGTTTTCAGTAATCCAGAGTAGACGTATTCACACAAAATCACATTTCAAAACGATGTCTGAGTCTAAATATCTCAGTCCTGATGTTCTCAATTGCCATTTGAGTAAATTCCTACAACTCCCAAGATTCCCCTCTCTCTAACTGGGTGGAGTGGGCGGTGTGTGGGTTGAACTTGGTTCAAAACGTAGGTGGTCAAAGGTGCTTCAACTTGGTCAAATATAAAACAGGAGAGATTACTTCTCAAGAAATAATAATGTTCCTCGAGTGATGAAAAGTAGCTATCAGCCATACTCTGAGCTTTCTCATGAGCCATGAGCAGAGCGAGTGACAGAGGAGCAGCTAATGGATTTACTAACATAGGAAGTTATTTCTAATTTCGGGTTCTGGGCAGTCCCTGAGTCGAGCAGTGAATTTCAAACACATATTCAAAACACAAAAGACCAGGGAGGTTTTCCAATGCCTTGCAAAGAAGGGCACCTATTGGTAGATGGGTAAAAACAAATAAAAAGCAGACATTGAATATCCCTTTCAGCATTGTGTTATTAATTACACTTTGGATGGTGTATCAACACAACCAATCACTACAAAGATACAGGCGTCCTTCCCTACTCAGGTCCCGGAGAGGAAGGAAACCGCGCAGGGATTTCACCATGAAGCCAATGGTGACTTTAAAACAGTTACAGAGTTTAATGGCTGTGATAGGAGAAAACTGAGGATGGATCAACAACATTGTAGTTACTCCACAATACTAATCTAATTGACAGAGTGAAAAGGAAGAAAGCCTGTACAGAATACAAATATTCCAAAACATGCATCCTGTTTGCAACAAGGCCCTTAAGTAATACTGCAAACAAAACGTGGCAAAGCAATGACCTTTTTGTACTGAATACAAAGTGTTATGTTTGAGGCAAATCCAATACAACACATTACTGAGAACCACTCTCCATATTTTCAAGCATAGTGTTGGCTGCATCCTGTTATGGGTGTGCTTGTCATCGTTAAGTCTTGGGAGTAAATTTAAAAAAATAAATAAAAGTAAACGACGGAATGGAGCTAAGCACAGGCAGAATCCAAGAGGAAAACCTGTTTCAGTCTGCTTTCCACCAGACACTGGGAGACTAGAGGAAAACCTGGTTCAGTCTGCTTTCCACCAGACACTGGGAGACTAGAGGAAAACCTGGTTCAGTCTGCTTTCCACCAGACACTGGGAGACTAGAGGAAAACCTGTTTCAGTCTGCTTTCCACCAGACACTGGGAGACTAGAGGAAAACCTGTTTCAGTCTGCTTTCCACCAGACACTGGGAGACTAGAGGAAAACCTGGTTCAGTCTGCTTTCCACCAGACACTGGGAGACTAGAGGAAAACCAGTTTCAGTCCGCTTTCCACCAGACACTGGGAGACTAGAGGAAAACTTGTTTCAGTCAGCTTTCCACCAGACACTGGGAGACTAGAGGAAAACCTGTTTCAGTCTGCTTTCCACCAGACACTGGGAGACTAGAGGAAAACCAGTTTCAGCCTGCTTTCCACCAGACACTGGGAGATGAATTCACCTTTCAGCAGGACAATAACCTAAAACACAAGGCCAAATCTACACTGGAATCGCTTACCAAGAACACAGTGAATGACATGAATGTTCCTGAGCGGCCAATGTTACAGTTTTGACTTAACTCTACTTGAAAATCTACGGCAAGACCTGCAAATGGTTGTCTAGCAACGAAAAACTGTTTTGTTAAAAAAAAAACATGTTTTCACTTTGTTGGGTATTGTGTGTAGATAGGCAAACATTTTTTTAATTTTTTAATCAACTTTGAATTCTTGAAAATATATTTAATCAATAATATTTAATAAGGCTGTAACAACTAAATGTGGCATGAGTCAAGGGGTATGAATACTTTCTGAAGCCACTGTATGACGGGGCAGGTTCCATGTGTTCGCCAGCTAACTTTAAAAAAACTACCAGAAATAACTATTGATTTTCTCGTTTATTAATAAAGCTAAACTGAGATATGTGTTTTTGGTTGTAGAGTCAATTCAAAATAAAAGTCATTTCTGAATATCTACCTCGCTAACTCACTGATACTGTTTTGTGGTATACCCTTTTGGTTGATTATCCGCAGTGGTTTGTACAAATAAAGGATCCATTCAAACACACACGCAGTACCAAGCTAATAAACACAAAGTACTGAGTTATAGAACGGAGGGCAAGAGGACATGCTTCCCTTGTAACACTGTTAGAGAACCGCAGACACCCCAGGGCTACTAGGACATCAATCACTAACTAAATTAGGTCAGTATTTGGAGCAAGAACAGCGTACTCAGGGTACAACACACATGTTTGCATACTCACCTGAGCTCTTTCTTCACCTCCTCATAGTCAGCCTGTTCCTGAAGCTTTTGCTCCAGTTGCTAGAAAGAAGAGAGGGAGGGAAAGAGAGAAGAGGAGAGGAGAGAAAGGAGGAGAGAGAGGATGAGAGCAGAGGATGAGAGGATATGGGTGGAGAGAGAGAGAGAGGAGGAGGACAGAGGAGAGAAAGGAGGAGAGAGAGGATGAGAGCAGAGGATGAGAGGATATGGTGGAGAAGAGAGGAGAGAGGAGAGATGAGGAGACCGAAGAGGAGAGGAGGACTGAGAGAAGAGAGGATAGAGGATATGGTTGGAGAGCGAGGAGAAGGAGGACAGAAGAGAGAAAGGAGGAGAGAGAGGATGAGAGCAGAGATGAGAGAGAGGATGAGAGGATATGGGTGGAGAGAGAGCGAGAGGGGACGAGGAAGAGGAGAGGAGTGGAGGCAGGTAGAGATCCTGGAGGCGCAGAGGATGAGAGGACGGGAGGAGGAGAGAGAAGGAGGCGGAGAAGAGGAAGAGAGGACAGAAGAGGGGAGGACAGAAGAGAGGGGGAGGACAGAAGAGAGGGAGGGGAAGAGATTAAATGAATGATGGATGAGGAGGATGGAAACTCCCAGACAGACAGTATAATGACAATCAACTTTTACATACACGTGTGAGGTTGTGAGCGGGTGTGTGTGTGTGAGAGGTGTGTGTGTGTGTGTGTGTGTGTGTGTGTGAGTGAGAGAGAGGTGTGTGTGTATATATATACAGTGCCTTGCAAAATTATTCATCCCCCTTGGTGTTTTTCCTATTTTGTTGCATTACAACCTGTAATTTAAATGGATTTTTATTTGGATTTCATGTAACGGACATACACAAAATAGTCCAAATTGGTGAAGTGAAATGAAAAACATAACTTGTTTCAAAAAATTCGAAACAATAAATAACGGAAAAGTGGTGCGTGCATATGTATTCACCCCCTTTGCTATGAAGCCCCTAAATAAGATCTGGTGCAATAAATTACCTTCAGAAGTCACATAATTATTTAAATTAAGTCCACATGTGAGCAATCTAAGTGTCACATGATCTCAGTATATATACACCTGTTCTGAGTGGCCCCAGAGTCTGTAACACCACTAAGCAAGGGGCACCACCAAGCAAGCGACACCATGAAGACCAAGGAGCTCTCCAAACAGGTCAGGGACAAAGTTGTGGAGAAGTTCAGATCAGGGTTGGGTTATAAAAAAATATCAGAACCTTTGAACATCCCACGGAGCACCATTCAATCCATTATCAAAAGATGGAAAGAATATGGCACCACAACAAACCTGCCAAGAGAGGGCCGCCCACCAAAACTCACGGACCAGCCAAGGAGGGCTTTAATCAGAGAGGCAACAAAGAGACCAAAGATAACCCTGAAGGAGCTGCAAAGCTCCACAGCGGAGATTGGAGTATCTGTCCATAGGACCACTTTAAGCCGTACACTCCACAGAGCTGGGCTTTATGGAAGAGTGGCCAGAAAAAAGCCATTGCTTAAAGAAAAAAATAAGCAAACACGTTTGGTGTTCACCAAAAGGCATGTGGGAGACTCCCCAAACATATGGAAGAAGGTACTCTGGTCATATGAGACTAAAATTGAGCTTTTTGGCCATCAAGGAAAACGCTATGTCTGGCACAAACCCAACACCGTTCATCACCACAAGAACACCATCCCCACAGTGAAGCATGGTGGTGGCAGCATCATGCTGTGGGGATGTTTTTCATCGGCAGGGACTGGGAAACTAGTAAGAATTGAAGGAATGATGGATTGCGCTAAATACAGGGAAATTCTTGAGGGAAACCTGTTTCAGTCTTCCAGAGATTTGAGACTGGGACGGAGGTTCACCTTCCAGCAGGACAATGACCCATAAGCATACTGCTAAAGCAAAACTCGAGTGGTTTAAGGGAAAACATTTAAATGTCTTGGAATGGCCTAGTCAAAGCCCAGACCTCAATCCAATTGAGAATCTGTGGTATGACTTAAAGATTGCTGTACACCAGCGGAACCCATCCAACTTGAAGGAGCTGGAGCAGTTTTGCCTTGAATAATGGGCAAAAATCCCAGTGGCTAGATGTGCCAAGCTTATAGAGACAAACCCCAAGAGACTTGAAGCTGTAATTGCTGCAAAAAGTGGCACTACAAAGTATTGTCTTTTTAGGGGGTGAATAGTTATGCACGCTCAAGTTTTCTATTTTTTTTTTCTTATTTCTTGTTTGTTTCACAAGAAAATATATTTTGCATCTTCAAAGTGGTAGGCATGTTGTGTAAATCAAATGATACAAACCCCCCAAAAAATCCATATTAATTCCAGGTTGTAAGGCAACAAAATAGGAAAAATGCCAAGGGGGGTGAATACTTTCGCAAGCCACTGTAGCCTACCTTGAAGGTGGCAGTCTTGGTGCTCAGTTGTAGTTGAAGCTGTGTGATCTGTGTGGTGGAGCTCTCTCTGAGTTTAGAAAGGCTGGCCTGCAGTCTCTGGACATCTTCCACCAGCTGAACCATGTCTCTGTCCTTGGCCCCCAGCTCTGCCTCCAGACTGGAGCGGGACACCACCTCCACTGCCTGGTCCTATAGGCCAACACATACATCAATACACCAATCAATCAACCAATCACAACAGTCTGCTCATAGGTCAAAACATACAGTGAGGGAAAAAAGTATTTGATCCCCTGCTGATTTTGTACGTTTGCCCACTGACAAAGAAATGATCAGTCTATAATTTTAATGGTAGGTTTATTTGAACAGTGAGAGACAGAATAACAACAAAAACATCCAGAAAAACGCATGTCAAAAATGTTATAAATTGATTTGCATTTTAATGAGGGAAATAAGTATTTGACCCCTGTACAAAACATTACTTAGTACTTGGTGGCAAAACCCTTGTTGGCAATCACATAGGTCAGACGTTTCTTGTAGTTGGCCACCAGGTTTGCACACATCTCAGGAGGGATTTTGTCCCACTCCTCTTTGCAGATCTTCTCCAAGTCATTAAGGTTTCGAGGCTGATGTTTGGCAACTCGAACCTTCAGCTCCCTCCACAGATTTTCTATGGTATTAAGGTCTGGAGACTGGCTAGGCCACTCCAGGACCTTAATGTGCTTCTTCTTGAGCCAATCCTTTGTTGCCTTGGCCGTGTGTTTTGGGTCATTGTCATGCTGGAATACCCATCCACGACCCATTTTCAATGCCCTGGCTGAGGGAAGGAGGTTCTCACCCAAGATTTGACGGTACATGGCCCCGTCCATCGTCCCTTTGATGCAGTGAAGTTGTCCTGTCCCCTTAGCAGAAAAACACCCCCAAAGCATAATGTTTCCACCTCCATGTTTGACGGTGGGGATGGTGTTCTTGGGGTCATAGGCAGCATTCCTCCTCCTCCAAACACGGCGAGTTGAGTTGATGCTCAAGAGCTCGATTTTGGTCTCATCTGACCACAACACTTTCACCCAGTTCTCCTCTGAATCATTCAGATGGTCATTGGCAAACTTCAGACGGGCATGTATATGTGCTTTCTTGAGCAGGGGGACCTTGCAGGCGCTGCAGGATTTCAGTCCTTCACTGCGTAGTGTGTTACCAATTGTTTTCTTGGTGACTATGGTCCCAGCTGCCTTGAGATCATTGACAAGATCCTCCCGTGTAGTTCTGGGCTGATTCCTCACCGTTCTCATGATCATTGCAACTCCACGAGGTGAGATCTTGCATGGAGCCCCAGGCCGAGGGAGATTGACAGTTCTTTCTTCCATTTGCGAATAATCGCACCAACTGTTGTCACCTTCTCACCAAGCTGCTTGGCGATGGTCTTGTAGCCCATTCCAGCCTTGTGTAGGTCTACAATCTTGTCCCTGACATCCTTGGAGAGCTCTTTGGACTTGGCCATGGTGGAGAGTTTGGAATCTGATTGATTGATTGCTTCTGTGGACAGGTGTCTTTTATACAGGTAACAAACTGAGATTAGGAGCACTCCCTTTAAGAGTGTGGTCCTAATCTCAGCTCGTTACCTGTATAAAAGACACCTGGGAGCCAGAAATCTTTCTTATTGAGAGGGGGTCAAATACTTATTTCCCTCATTAAAATGCAAATCAATTTATAACATTTTTGACATGCGTTTTTCTGGATTTTTGTTGTTGTTATTCTGTCTCTCACTGTTCAAATAAACCTACCATTAAAATTATAGACTGATCATGTCTTTGTCAGTGGGCAAACGTACAAAATCAGCAGGGGATCAAATACCTTTTCCCCCTCACTGTACATCAATCCATTCATCAATTAACCAATCAATACATAATTAAATCAATCTATAAATCACAACAGTCTGCTCCTATAAGTTAAAGTATAAATCAATCAAATAATCAATGAACCAATCAATCCATCAACCAATTCTTTGGGGTATACTGATCATAATGCATCTGCTCCTAGGACTAAAGAAAATCCACCTCTCTCAGCAATCAGCCAACCAACTCCCCCTCTATCAGCAATCAGCCAACCAAATCCACCTCTATCAGCAATCAGCCAACCAAATCCACCTCTATCAGCAATCAGCCAACCAAATCCACCTCTATCAGCAATCAGCCAACCAAATCCACCTCTATCAGCAATCAGCCAACCAAATCCACCTCTATCAGCAATCAGCCAACCAAATCCACCTCTATCAGCAATCAGCCAACCAAATCTACCTCTATCAGCAATCAGCCACCAAATCCCCTCTATCAGCAATCAGCCAACCAAATCCACCTCTATCAGCAATCAGCCAACCAAATCCACCTCTCTCAGCAATCAGCCAACCAAATCCACCTCTCTCAGCAATCAGCCAACCAACTCCACCTCTATCAGCAATCAGCCAACCAAATCCACCTCTATCAGCAATCAGCCAACCAAATCCACCTCTATCAGCAATCAGCCAACCAAATCCACCTCTATCAGCAATCAGCCAACCAAATCCACCTCTATCAGCAATCAGCCAACCAAATCCACCTCTCTCAGCAATCAGCCAACCAAATCCACCTCTATCAGCAATCAGCCAACCAAATCCACCTCTATCAGCAATCCATACTCTACCAACCAATAACAGCGTACCGTGTCTGGGGTGGTCTGGATCTGGGTAGTCAGCTGCAGGGTTTGGTTAGAAGAGGTCAGCTGCTCCCTCAGAGTGTCCGCCTCCCTCTGTGCTGCCTCCGCCCTCTGAGAGACAGACAGACAGACAGACAGACAGACAGACAGACAGACAGACAGACAGACAGACAGACAGACAGACAGACAGACAGACAGACAGACAGACAGAGAGACAGAGAGAGAGAGAGAGAGAGAGAGAGAGAGAGGAGAGAGAGAGAGAGACAGACAGAGAGAGACAGACAGAGAGAGAGAGACAGAGAGAGAGAGACAGAGACAACGTAAACTGGTTACCAACGTAATTAGAAGAGTAAAAATTAATGTTTTGTCATACCCTTGGTATACGGTCTGATATACCACCGCTGTCAGCCTATCAGCATTCAGGTCTTAAACCACCCAGTTTATAACATCCAATAATGACCAAGGCCATAAAGGGGTGGAGACTAACCTGATTGGCTCTCTCCAGATCTGTCATCACCATTTCAATCTCATCGGCCCTGAGGAGGAGGAGGAAGAGGAAGAAGAGGAAGAAGAAGAGGATGAGGAAGTGGAGGAAGAGAGGATGAGAAGAGGATGGAGGGAAGAAGAGGACTAAAGAAGAGGAGGAGGAGGAAGAGGAAGAAGATGAGGAGGAGGAAGAGGAGGAGGAAGAGGAGGAAGAAGAAGTTAAAGAAGAAGAGGAGAAGAGAAAGAAGAGGAGGAAGAGGAGGAAGAAGAGGATTAAGTGTTACTAAGTGCACACACAGGACAGTGATCATTACAACATCTAGCACGCACACACACCCCGAGGCTCCCAAAGCCTGAAACGCATGTTGTTGTATGTATACAACTCATGTGAGTGAATTGTAACTGAGTGCAGCAGTACCCAGTAAAACCCTCTCAATTTTCTCCTTAGTACTTTGATTGTGAACCCAATAACCTCAGCAACTTGTGTGTCTGTGTCTAAGCCGGACTAAAACAGAGGGATTACACTAATTGAGCGCTGAGTCTTAATGTTCACTAATCTGACAGGGAAGCTAACCCGGGTCGCTGCGCGTATGGCAAACATCCTAGGCATCGCGCCAATAGGGTCAACCTGTGGGAATTGTAACGTGGCTCAAATAGCGAGGATCCATTAACGATTCTGTCCCCTGGTAGTAGTTGGGATGCTTCAACATGGATGCATATCAATAGTCCAAAGTTGATTCCTATTTCCTAACCTTCGGTGCCTGACATTTAAACAGCAGTGCGGTGTCATTACACCAACACCCTGACATCTCATTATAGGTGATTCTGCATGGAGTGTTCACCTTCATTTAGGTTATCTGTAATTGGGTGTCTGTGTGCAAGTGTTATTTTTTTGTTTTTTTTTAAAGGTGCAATATGCAGAAATCATTCACCATTTCCTGGTTGATAAAACTCTTAATAGTTCACCTAATTTCAGTTTATGTGAAAAACAAGCAATGTATAGTGTAAAGAATCATTGCACCATCTAAACCGCTGTGAAATATATTTTCCATAACCAAAAATATTGTATTTTCAGCTGGTGGACAAAACCGAAAGTAAAAGACGCAAAAACTAAACTTAAGAACGGGAAACATAGAAATAGCGCACATCTTAAGACTTGCTTTCAATTAGATTTCAAGATCTATAACTAACATTTCTATGTGAATTTGGTCGGGTTGGCCCAAAAAGTTACATATTGCAGCTTTAATAACCATTATACCGTCATACCGTTTCTGTACCATACCGGGGTATATTGTATTACTGGAAGTGCACACAAGGCCGCCATTTCAATAAAATAAATTATAATATTGTAAAAAATATATATAATATATACAGTACCGGTCAAAAGTTTGGACACACCTACTCATTCAAGGGTTTTTCTTAATTTTTTACTATTTTTTTACATTGTAGAATAATAGTGAAGACATCAAACCTAGGAAATAACACATATGGAATCATGTAGTAACCAAAAAAGTGTTAAACAAATCAAAATATATTTTATATTTGAGATTCTTCAAATAGCCACCCTTTGCCTTGATGACAGCTTTGCACACTCTTTGCCTTGATGACAGCTTTATGCACTGATAGCCTGCCTCCCGTTGTCTATACACTTGAATGGCGAATGGGAGGCGTGCTTCAATTACCAGTTGAGAAATGAAAACAGTAGCTCTTTTTAATCATGGCCATCAATACTGTTATTTACATGCGATTGCATTTAGAATTGTTGCAAGCGCAATGACTGGGCTTATGTAAAAGCACTTGTTTCACTCCAGCAGCAATGAGCTGAGGAGCAGCAGGAGCAATGAGCTGAGGAGCAGCAGCAGGAGCAATGAGCTGAGGAGCAGCAGCAGGAGCAATGAGCTGAGGAGCAGCAGCAGGAGCAATGAGCTGAGGAGCAGCAGCAGGAGCAATGAGCTGAGGAGCAGCAGCAACAGCTCTAGTGAGGAGGTTATATTCAGCTCTAACTAGACTGTCTGTATGCTGTGGCGTGTGATAAATAAGATGCATGATGACCAAAAAACAACATGCGCCATTTTAGTTCCTACATTATGGACATGAACCACTATGCACACTCACTGGACTCTACCCACACACACACTCACTGGACTCTACCCACACACACACACACACTGGACTCTACCCACACACACACACACTGGACTCTACCCACACACACACTCACTGGACTCTACCCACACACACATTCACTGGACTCTACCCACACACACACTCACTGGACTCTACCCACACACACATACACTTTACATCCGCTGCTTCTAATCAGCTTTATTATCTGTCCTGATTGCCTAGTCACCTTTACCCCTACCTACATGTACCTCGTACCCCTGCATAGTGACTCGGTACCAGTACTCCTTGTATATAGTCTCATTACTACCTGGTACCACTGCACAGTGACTCGGTACCAGAACTCTTTGTATATAGGCTCATTATTGTTATCTATAGTGTTACTTTTTGCTAATTTTCTTACTTTTTAACTCTGCATTGTTGGGAAAGGGGTTCGTAAGTAAGCATTTCACGGTGAAGTCAACACCTGTTATATTCGCCGCATGTGACAAATACAATTTTATTTGACCTATAGACCGATAAGCATGATGGTAAAATGTATTTCCATTGACTGGTATTTCCATCAATTAATAAAAGCATTATTTTGCAATGGGATTCTTTTTTTTCTCCCGGTGAATTTGGTCGACAATAATTTATGTAATTATTTTTATTATATTTTGTATTATTTTTATTAAATCGGCTTTTCATAAAAAAAATTGGGCCAAAAGCTGGCAATTAGCGGCTAACAGAAACCCTGCTACAGATGTACAAAGTCTTCTTAAATAACATTGGGATTTGCCTGGATTTGGGCATTACAAAGGGATCAAGGAGACAGACAGGTTTTAGTGTTCTGATGCGGAAGTCAGTTCATTCACCAGCATAACACAATGTTCTATCAATGCAATGATAGCATATAGTCAAATTTTCAAAGGAAGGTTCATGCTTTAACGCTTCATCACAGCCCCAGACAGATTCAAAATCAGGTCAGCGTTACTGTACAATTCATTTACACCACTATCCAATATCCTAAAAGAGATTTGTGATGTATTTCAAACTAAAAATAACTATATGTGATTCTATCCGGTGCCACAAAAAGTCATCCTCAAAAACCCTGACAGCCCTCTCTGGACCAGGCAGACAGGATGTGACAGCCCTCTCTGGACCAGGCAGACAGGAGGTGACAGCCCTCTCTGGACCAGGCAGACAGGATGTGACAGCCCTCTATGGAGCAGGCAGACAGGATGTGACAGCCCTCTATGGACCAGGCAGACAGGATGTGACAGCCCTCTATGGACCAGGCAGACAGAATGTGACAGCCCTCTCTGAACCAGGCAGACAGGATGTGACAGCCCTCTCTGGACCAGGCAGACAGGATGTGACAGCCCTCTATGGACCAGGCAGACAGGAGGTGACAGGATGTGACAGCCCTCTATGGACCAGACAGACAGGATGTGACAGCCCTCTATGGACCAGGCAGACAGGATGTGACAGCCCTCTCTGAACCAGGCAGACAGGATGTGACAGCCCTCTCTGGACCAGGCAGACAGGATGTGACAGCCCTCTATGGACCAGGCAGACAGGAGGTGACAGGATGTGACAGCCCTCTATGGACCAGACAGACAGGATGTGACAGCCCTCTATGAACCAGGCAGACAGGATGTGACAGCCCTCTATGGAGCAGGCAGACAGGATGTGACAGCCCTCTATCAACCAGGCAGACAGGATGTGACAGCCCTCTATCAACCAGACAGACAGGATGTGACAGCCCTCTATGAACCAGGCAGACAGGATGTGACAGCCCTCTATGGAGCAGGCAGACAGGATGTGACAGCCCTCTATGGAGCAGGCAGACAGGATGTGACAGCCCTCTATCAACCAGGCAGACAGGATGTGACAGCCCTCTATGGACCAGGCAGACAGGATGTGATAGCCCTCTATGGAGCAGGCAGACAGGATGTGACAGCCTTCTCTGAACCAGGCAGACAGGATGTGACAGCCCTCTATGGACCAGGCAGACAGGATGTGACAGCCCTCTATGGACCAGGCAGACAGGATGTGAGAGCCCTCTATGGAGCAGGCAGACAGGATGTGACAGCCCTCTATGGAGCAGGCAGACAGGATGTGACAGCCCTCTATGAACCAGGCAGACAGGAGGTGACAGCCCTCTATGGAGCAGGCAGACAGGATGTGACAGCCCTCTCTGAACCAGGCAGACAGGATGTGACAGCCCTCTATGGACCAGGCAGACAGGAGGTGACAGCCCTCTATGGACCAGGCAGACAGGAGGTGACAGGATGTGACAGCCCTCTATGAACCAGGCAGACAGGAGGTGACAGCCCTCTATGGAGCAGGCAGACAGGATGTGACAGCCCTCTCTGAACCAGGCAGACAGGAGGTGACAGCCCTCTATGGACCAGGCAGATAGGAGGTGACAGGATGTGACAGCCCTCTATGGACCAGGCAGACAGGAGGTGACAGGAGGTGACAGCCCTCTATGGACCAGGCAGACAGGAGGTGACAGGATGTGACAGCCCTCTATGAACCAGGCTGACAGGATGTGACAGCCCTCTATGGATCAGGCAGACAGGAGGTGACAGCCCTCTATGGACCAGGCAGACAGGATGTGACAGCCCTCTATGAACCAGGCAGACAGGATGTGACAGCCCTCTATGAACCAGGCAGACAGGATGTGACAGCCCTCTCTGAACCAGGCAGACAGGATGTGACAGCCCTCTATGAACCAGGCTGACAGGATGTGACAGCCCTCTCTGGACCAGGCAGACAGGAGGTGACAGCCCTCTCTGAACCAGGCAGACAGGAGGTGACAGGCAGATCTGTTTGGACTTCTAGCGGTCAATTTGCAGTCTACAAATTATTTGTAATTATGTTCCGGCCCCCTGACCATCCGCTCAAGAAAATAATTGGCCCGGGGCTGAATCTAGTTGATGACCCCTACTCTAGGCTATATTGTTTTCTATGTATTTCTCAGATAGGGTCCATCTCGTACTCCCCTCTCAAGCCTTCCCTCATCCAGGGCCCCAGTGTCCAGCGCCCATATTCATAAAGAATCTCACAGTGCTGATCTAGGATCAATTTAACCTTTTAGATCCTAATTAATACGATTATATGGACAATTGGGGACCTGATCCGAGATCAGCACTTCTACTCTGAGTTGCTTTATGAACACGGGTCCAGGTCCCCAGGCAGGTCAGTAAAGTGAGGAGGGACATCCATCAGTCAGTCAGAACTCTGAGGATCCCTCATATGCCTGGTCCCATTATTCTGTTCCTACCCTACCCTCTCTTCTCTCTGTTCCTACCCTACCCTCGCTTCTCTCTTTTCCTACCCTACCCTCGCTTCTCTCTCTGTTCCTACCCTACCCTCTCTTTTCTCTGTTCCTACCCTACTCTCTCTTCTCTCTTTGTTCCTACCCTACTCCCTCTCTTCTCTCTCCTCCTACCCTACTCCTCTCTTCTCTCCGTTCCTACCTACCCTCTTCTCTCTCTTCTCCTACCCTCCCTCTTCTCTCTGCTCCTACCCTACCCTCTCTTTTCTCTGTTCCTACCCTACCCTCTCTTCTCTCTTTTCCTACCCTACCCTCGCTTCTCTCTCTGTTCCTACCCTACCCTCTCTTTTCTCTGTTCCTACCCTACTCTCTCTTCTCTCTTTGTTCCTACCCTACTCCCTCTCTTCTCTCTCCTCCTACCCTACTCCTCTCTTCTCTCCGTTCCTACCTACCCTCTTCTCTCTCTTCTCCTACCCTACCCTCTCTTCTCTCTCTGTTCTTACCCTACCCTCTCTTCTCTCTGCTCCTACCCTATCTTCTCGCTGTCCCTACCCTACCCTACCCTCGCTTCTCTCTGTTCCTACCCTACCCTGTAGTTTCTCTGTTCCTATCCTACTCCCTCTCTTCTCTCTCCTCCTACCCTACTCCCTCTCTTCTCGCTGTTCCTACCCTACCCTCTCTCTGTTCCTACCCTACCCTGTCGTTTCTCTGTTTCTACCCTACCCTCTCTTCTCTCTCTGTTCCTACCCTACCCTCTCTTCTCTCTGTTCCTACCCTGCATCATTGAACTTTAACAGAGGAAAAAGGGGCAACAGGCGTGCAGTCAGACCCTCACAGCACCAGCACAGACAGGGGGCTACGGCTGCCTGCCCACTCACCACTGGGACTCACACAGACCCCAGGCAATACTGTATCGACCACAGCACAGTGTGTCTGTGTGTGCAGTTCAAAAGGGAGATTACCCAAATGCACAGAGAGTAAAGAGAGACATTCTCAAGCAATGTTCTCCCCTGTGGACCCATGTGGAGACTGAACTGGAACCAGAGCAATGTTCAATCAGACCCCCAATGCAGGTTTCCTGGTTAAGAGATCAAAACATTACGTCGTCCAACCACATTGAAAGAGTATGATTTGTGGCGAAAACTGGGAAACAGGGCACAGAGGGACTAGTGGACCCCTGTCCTCAGTATTGGTGTCTGGGAGGGTTGAGGAGTGAGTTCTGTTAAGTGTCTCTTTACAGTGTGGAGTGGTGACATGGACAAGCTTCTGTTAGAGTCCTCAGACCAGAGGGGATTTGTTAGAGTCCTCAGACCAGAGGGGATCTGTTAGAGTCCTCAGACCAGAGGGGATCTGTTAGAGTCCTCAGACCAGAGGGGATCTGTTAGAGTCCTCACACCAGAGGGGATCTGTTAGAGTCCTCAGACCAGAGATGCAGAGATAGATTAGAGACAAAACAGAGTTCTCCTCTTTTCCTGCATGTCTCGTAGCTCAGTTGGTAGAGCATGGCACTTGCAATGCCAGGATAGTAGGTTTGATTCTAAATGGACATGTATATCGTCTACCTATGAGGCAGCATCACCAGGAGATGGGGGTTATATGGGGTTCGGTGGAGAGGGAGGAGCCCAGACAGACAGTATATTAAAACAAAACATAGTGGAGGCCTCTTTTCTCCCAGCATTCAACAAGGAATGAGAGAACCTAGCAGCACACAGAGACAGACAGAAAGAGAGACAGAGAGACAGACAGAGAGAGAGACAGAGAGAGAGAGCGATAGAGAGAGAGAGAGCGATACAGAGAGAGAGAGAGAGAGAGAGAGAGACAGAAAGAGAGAGACAGAGACAGAGAGACAGAGAGAGAGACAGAGAGAGAGAGAGATACACAGAGAGAGAGAGCGATACAGAGAGAGCGAGAAAGAGAGAGAGAGAGAGAGAGAGAGAGAGAGAGACAGAGAGAGATACACAGAGACAGAGAGAGAGAGATACACAGAGACAGAGAGAGAGAGATACACAGAGAGAGAGAGAGAAAGAGAGAGAAAGAGAGACAGAGAGACAGACAGAGAGAGAGAGAGAGAGAGAGAGAGAGATACACAGAGATAGAGAGAGAGAGAGAAGAAGAGAGATAGAGAGAGGTAAGAGATAAGAGAGAGAGATAAGACTAGACGAGACAGACACAAGAGAGATGACAGACAGAGATGAGAGAGAGACAGAGAGAGAGAGATTAACATGACCTAGAGATATGAATTACAGAGATAGACAGTAGAATCAGATACAATATACATAGAGCATTGATACAGATGATAGACAGATAGAGTAGAACAGATAGAGATGAGACAGACAGAAGAAGACATAAAAGACAGAAATAGATGACATAGAGATACAAGAGACTTAACGAGACAGAAGTAGATAGTACAGAGATATATACACAAGAGAGATGCATACAAATATAACCCAATACATAAATACAGTATAGTACAGCATAGGAGGATACTAGAGAGACCACAAATTTCAATTAAGCTAGACTTAAACTCTTTAACAACATCATCCTTAGCTCTGGCATCTTCCCCCAACATCTGGAAACCAAAGGACTGATCACCCCAATCCACAAAAAGTGGAGACAAATTTGGACCCCAATAACTACCGTGGGATATGCGTCCAACAGCAACCTTGGGAAAATCCTCTGCATTATCATTAACAGCAGAACTAGTTTCATTTCCTCAGTGAAAACAATGTACTGAGCAAATGTCAAATTGGCTTTTTAATTAACCAAATTAACCGATACGACAGTACCACGTATTCACCCTGCCACCCTAATTGACAAACAAACAAACCAAAACAAAGGCAAAGTTCTTCTCATGCTTTGTTGATTTCAAAAAAGCTTTTGACTCAATTTGGCATGAGGGTCTGCTATAAAAATTGATGGAAAGTGGGGGTTGGGGGAAAAAACATACGACATTATAAAATGCAACGCACCACCCACGTGGAGTTCCAGGTCGCAGGCAGCCTCTGGAACTGCCGTTCTGCTGCCAACAAAGCTGACTTCATCCCAGCCTATGCAACCTCCAGTCCCTCGACTCCTGGCGGCGAAAGGTGA